TGTTACATACATTTACCCCATACCATATATATATATATATATATATTATTTTTTATTTTAAAAATAGGTTTATTTAATTTCATGTGCTATCGATATATACATATATATATAAATATGTATATATATATTAATGTAAATCATTATATAATAATAATTTATTTTAAACTACATATTAATTAATTATTTATTTTTTTTGGAAGAAATCTGTTACTAAAATAACATATTTTTTTGGTTTGTTAATTATGTTTATGTTTTTTTGTTGTTAATGTTTGGGTTTTTTTTGGTTTGCATAATTTGTTACATAAATTTTTTTTAGTTAGTATATGTATCATACATTTCCTTCAAAATCAATTTTTTAAAAAAACCAAATACAGTATATTAAACCATATCTATGTATACATGTATTTGAGAAATATTGATATATAATAATAATTAATAAATAAATAATATTATCAATTTATCTACATAAATACATTAACCATAAAAGTATAACAATAAAATTTATCATCAACATTTTGAAATAATAAAAAAATATCTCAATATTTTTTTGGTGTATTTATAAATATAAAATGTAATAATAATAATAATAGGTTAATGTTTTTTTTTTGTTGTTGTTGTGTATAATGTGTTTGTTAATACATAACAATTGCAAAAAAATAATATTGAAATATAATGTTGAAAAAACAAACAAACAATTATATATAGTGGGAAACTAAACATAAATTTTTCGTTTATGTGGAAAAAAAATTATACAATATATTTGCAATAATATTAATAGTAAAATATTACAATAATGTTCACAAAAAAAATTACTATTAATTTGTTGTTGAGATTAATGGTAATAAATTTATCTGAATATGATATTAGGATTTTTGTTTAATATTTTCTATTGCTATAATTGAAATATATATATATATAATTTAGGAACAATACTGTATAATATATAATATATTGATATTTCTAAATGATAAAACATATAGTAATATAAATTATTTCTAATACCCATTAAAAAACAAAAATACAAACAAAAAAATGTATGATTTAATATATCAGTAGAGTATATATATACATCTATATAATATTATACCAATTATATATATTTATAATAATATATAATAWWTATATAWATATAAATTAGTTGATAAACTCATTAAATTGTAGAATTATTATTATTAATAATGTTTAATAAAACTATTGTTGCTCATAAAAAATCATTAGCAAAATAAATGAGATAATAAAATTTCACTATATATTTATAAACTACTGTACAATATATCATATTACAGTATATTAAACAAACAAATAAATTATTGAAAAAAAAATTTGTATATTTGATAGTCAATTCAAATGAAAAAATTAATTTGTTTCAATAATATATATATACATCTATAAACAAACCAACAAACAAACAATATATATATAATAATTAAACTAAATTTAAATATAATTAGTTAGTATAAAATAAAAAAATTCAAACTAAATGTAAAAATATAAACAAAAAACTAAAACTTAAATTTTCTTAAAATAAAGTTATTAAGGAAAACTATCAACTTATATATTAATAACCTAAAATTATAACCTAAAAAACAACTAATTTTTTTTTCAACAACAACAACAACACAAAAATTAATGTAATTCATACACAAAAAAAAATTTGTCATCAAAATCATTGAGTAATCGAGTAATTCATTAATTAATTAATTCATAATAAATTCAAGAAAAAAATACATATTTATATAATAATAATAATAATTATTATTATTATATCTATAAATTGCATTTAAATATATATTTTATGGCGTTTTACTTCAAATAAGTACTTATTTATATATATATATATATAATTAACTAACTAATTACAAACATAATACAAGGTCAAGGGGTCAGTCAGTTAGTCCATAACCTCTACCTTCACCACCATCACTACCACAACCTCAGCAGCAATTGTTTAGATCACATACACTCAGAAAAATATATACACAAACAGTTAGCTGAAAGTCCAGACTTAATATCCGGTGATCATTACGATTGTGATGGATATACACGACATATATATATATATAGCGATCGCTGAAGTGTCTCAATAGTCTTCCGACAGAAGAAATAAAGTCTCTTTTTGTTTGTTTCTTCATTTATTTTAATACCTTTTCCACAGTGTATTCTTCTCGTAGTATTTGATCAGTAATTGTGGACACTTTTCGTGTAGTATATAATTGGGTATGAGATCAGCTTTGGTAAGGTCTTCGCGAAACATTACTAGAAATTTCAGACCGTTGTCCTCTTTGGCGCCCAATATCTTGTACGGCCGATAGCCTCTGTCGAAGCCATTCTTCGGTTCAGACATGGATGTTGAGGTCTTTTGTGACAAAATGTGGTCATCGATGACGTCGTCGTCGTCGTCATCATTGTTGTTGTTGCTATCGTTGTTGACCTCCATGTCTTGCTGGATGTCGTCGTCGTCGTCGACGGCGACACCATTACCGTTGACGACCTGTATATCGGTAGTGGTGGTCACCAATTGGCTGTTGTTGTTGTTGTTGTTATTTGTTTGTTGGTTAAACTCGTCGATCATTTGCCGGTGATGTTGTAACTGATCGGCCGATATCCACAACTTTGACGTCGACGACAACATTGTTGTTGTTGTTGTTGTTGTCGGTGTTGTCTGACCGCCGATCTGTGTCTCAATCAGATACTCTTCAGCGTCGACGGCAACGGCGGCGGCGTCGGCGTCGGTGGCAGAGCTCGGATCGATATCGGCGACCAAACGTTTGTCCAAAATTTTGTTTACCGATAATTGTTGACTCATATCTCGTGTGTATCTATCGGTAATTGTTGGCCACAATAACAACACAACAATAACAACAAAATCACTGATAAATCACTAAAATATTTTGTATATATTTTTATATATCATATAATAATAATAATAATAATAATAATAATAATAATAAACAGTAGAAATAAATATATGATAAAAAATAAATAAAATTTTTAGTTATAAATAATTAATTAACTTTTTTTTTTGGTTGTTGTTATTGTTGTTTTGATATATGATATCATATCATATATATAACCATAAAATAAAGTATTATTTTTTTTGTTGTAAAATATATATATATATTATTATTATTAGTATTATTATTATCGATAAATAAATAAATAATAAGTTTTTTAAATATTAAAACATTTTTTGTTTGTTTGATTATTATTGAGTTTCGATTTGTTTTATAATAAAAAAAGTTTTTTACTCTCTTTCTCTCTCTCTCTCTCTCTCTCAAAGCAATTCAATTGATATATATTTTTTAAATAATAATAAAACACTCAATAATAATAATAACTCAATGAATATAGTGGTATATATATAGAAAAAATGTGTCGACTATTACACAGTATAATAATAATAATAATAGTAAAACAAAAATATTATTTATATAGTACTCCAATACTATTACATATACACTGCAAAAAAACAAGTGCAATGTGTTGTGTGTTTGAATTGAGTCTAACGATTGGGAAAAATTCAATTGAAAAATGTATTTATTTTTTTTTGTGTTTGTTTTGTGTTTGGTTTGGTTTTATTGGGTTTTAGTTTGAAATCGCGCACTAATTTTTTTGCACACAATTTATATGTATTAAGTATTGGTATAGCCATTGAATGCCAACCTATGACAACCTATAGAGGGAACTATGATATATAAATATAAATTTATATATAAATTAATATATACTGTACCTATAGGTACTATCAAGTAAATGTATAATTTTAATTATACATAGATTTTTAAAATGATTTTTTTTTATATTAATAATAATAATAAAAAGTAAATTACATATGTATGAGTAGAAAATATTGAATGAAATTAATAAATAATATATTATTTAGAGATTTTTTTATTGTGTTTTAATTTACACAACTGTACTATTAATTTTGATAATTACAAAAAAACAGTTATATGAAATTATCATATATTAAAACTTTTTTATATATAATATATTATATATATATATTGTAGTCTTATTATAGGAATATTTTGTTTTTTTTAAGTTATTTTTAATTATAATAATGAATAAATTTATTATTTTATTTAATTATAATAATTAAAATTGATTATCAATAAGGTTTAGAACATTATTATTATTATAAATACTTTATTTAATTTATATATAAAGGTATATAAATATATAAATTAAAATATTCAATATTAAATTATGTAATTGAAATGAAAATGTAATATAATATTCAAAATATAAAATTTAGCATATATTAAAATTTTTGATATATACTGTATATTTTTAATGACTAACCATAATTGTATATATATTTAATGACTAATCATAAATATAATTAAATTCATAATTTATAAATAATTTGTTCAAAATATTCAACATTTAATAATAATAATAATAAAGATAATCTCATAGTTAGTGTCTATCATTGTAAGCAATAATTAATAAATATAAGTCATGAAAATAATATTGGATTTTAATTACCGTAACATTAATTTATTTATCATTACAATTGCAAAAAATAAATAACATAAAAAACTATTATCAAAAATTAAATAATCATGACTAAACGTAAAATCCTATTATAGTAAAATAAATAAATCTAAATAAAAAAATCTTTAAATTTAAACATAATTAAAATCTATAACAAAATTATCTAATAAAATCATAAAATCATAAGCATAAATATTAAGAAAAAATTTATTTTTTCATATATATATATCAATATATAAATATATTTATCATTTTATCCATAATAAAACAACATTACCGGTAATAATAATAATAATAATATATTTAATTCAATAATTATAATTACAATCAATTTAATTCGAAGTTTGACTATTAAAATGATATGTAATTTCATTAACAAAAATAATTTGTAACAAATAATTATTAGAAAACATAGTTTTATATATCATATAATTTATATATATATATATATTTGTTTATATAGTCTACATTATATATATAAAAACATAGTTATATATATATATATATATTTATATATAAATAATTGCCGAATCACACTCCCGGCGGTTATCACATCCGCGAGTAGTGGTCAACAACCTAGTGACAGTGGTCGTCGTCAAACGTCGAGTAGGGATTGTTTTTACGGGTGCCGATTGCAAAATAGCCGACACCGGAGCCCAATATGATGGCCAAACATAACCAAGCATTGAAGTACATAAAGGCCAACATTAGTATATAAGAGATAAATATCTGAATCATATGTAACAATGTTTGCCACATATGGGCCGCCGATAACAGCCGCATAGTTGGCCGATGGACTGAATCCCTGTTGTGTTGGTGGTTGTGGTGTAGCGGTCGATCGTAAGCACCGCCAGCACCACCGCCGCCGCTAACCGAACTGCCGGCGCTTATGGTGGACGCACCGCCGTTTTCTTCGCTGCTGCTGATGCTACTGATGGTAACCACTGATGATCTGGCTCTTTGCAGATGCCGGTCCCGGTAAAACTTGAGCATCTCGTAGATAATGGCCAACACAAAGAAGAACAAACACGAACCGAACATTTCTTTTATTGATTTAAAAAAAATAAAATTTAAAAATATTTAATATTTAAAAGTTTCCACAAAAATAAAATTATCACTAAAAATACCTCCATCATTGTGGACAATCCATTTCTTAAACAATATGGGACTATAGTAGCCGATTTTGAAATACATGCCCATATCCATATCCATATTCATATTCATTTCAGTGGTCGGCATATCATGCATAGGCATATCGGTAGCGGACATATCGTGATTCATACCGTTACTCATATTCATCATCTATTTTGAGATCAATCAATCAATCAATCAATATTGTTGAATAAAAATTGTTTGGTAACAAAATAATTTTTTTTTTAACAAACAAAATACAAAAAAAAATATTTATTATTAATTATATGTGAATTATTAATATTAAAAAATCAAGTGTCAATAAGTTTTAGCAATTATTATATACTTTACTAATATTTTATAGCACAACAACAAACAAACAAAAAATACTATACAATAAAATTATTTTAATTTAATTAATTTAATTGATTGGCAAACGTCCTAATAAACAATATTATAGTATATACACAGTAGTATCGGATCTTATAAATGATAATTACATTTGTTGTTGTTGTCACTTATAATTTTTGTTAAACTATATTAAACTATATAGTTTCTAGTCATCACCACCTAATTAATCACTTATACAAACACTGATAATATGATATATATATATATTAGAAAAATTTAATAATACACTCAAACAAAATAATTTTCTGATAAATTAGATTTTGTTGGTTGAATTGTTAGTTATATATTTAAAAAAATTGAATGTTAGTTAATGCACTTTACAATTAAAAAATATAATAAAATGTTATCATCAATATGTTAATATRTAATGTCAACAGTGATGACAAACTTTAAAAAAAATACAAAACTATTTGTTAATAAAAACAAATTGAGGGGTGTATTGAAATCATAATTTATTTATACTATTATCTAATAATTGTAAAATTTACATTAACACTACTTTTTAAAAAAATAATAATTATATCAATAATATTCAATATCATATACTAAATATATGATTCAAATGTGTCATGAATATGCAAAATGTTTTTTTTAAATGTCAAATTAATTTATAATAATAAAAATAAATTGTGTCGGATATAACTATTATGAAAATTATTAATAAAAAAATCAATTTGATATTATATCGTTTTCAATTGACACCTATTTTTATAAATGATTATGTAATAATAAATTGTACTAGATAGTTTTATAATTAAATTTTATTTTAAAACATGCACACACACACACACAAATATATACAATAAAACGCACAAAATTTGTTTACTATCTAATAGTATAAATATATGTTTAATGTATATATTAACTAATTTTTATCTCAATAAAAAACTTAATAAAAAAATAAATAAATAATTAAATGTATAAATAAATAAAATATATATAATGATTCATATGATCTAATATAGTGAGAAAGTTTAATTAATGTCTACACAATTATATACACAGTTATAATATATATATATATATAGAGCTAATTCATTATGATTTTGCTAAATAACATGTTGTTATTCAACTAATAATAAAAATCAAATCAAAATAGGATTTAATTACATTAAAAAATAACAAATTTATTGCATTTGTTTTTTGTGTTTCTATGCTATCAATAGACATGTATATGTTGTTAAAAAAATGATATTTGTTTGTTTGTTTTTCATGATATATATTTATTTTTCAATGCAATTCAATAATCAAATCAAAACTTTCACAGTCAACACACACACACAYACACACACACACACACACACACACACACACACACACACACACACACACACACACACACACATACATACACACACACACACACATACACACACACACATATACACACACACACACACATACACACACAAACACACATATACACACACACACACACACACACACACATCATACATATACACACACACACATCACACACACACACACACACACACACACACACACACACAAACAAACACACACACACTAAACAAGTGTTTTATATGATATTTTAGAGATCAAACAAAAAAAAGGTTATTTCAGGTTATTATTACATATCGCACACAGATTTTTACAAAAAAAACAATCAAATCAAATAAATAATAAAATATATTTCAATAAAAAAAATAAAACAATTGAGTTAAACTAAAAGACATGCAATAATAATATATCAATAGATTAGCTGATAAAAAATACTAGAGATTAATTAATTGTAAATTTTCAAATTTAATTGTATCTATCATTAACACTAATATAAAATACTGTATCAATATATATATTTATAATATAAAGTAATTGTTAATTATGATTAATCATGGGATCAATAAATTTTTTTTATATGTTTGCATTGATTAACATTTAACACCCTATAGCTTATCAATAATAATAATAAAATAACTTTGATTATTATTATAATTATAATTATTATTGCAATTTATCGTCACATTAGTGCCCATTAATGATTGATAAACTCAAAAACTATTATAAACCCAAAACTTTTATAATAATAATAATAATATTAAATACATTTTTTTGTGATTAGTAGAAAATGTCATTTAATATCATAAATACTATATTAATGATAGTAATAATAGTTAGTTATAGTAAATGCACTTTAATTAACTAATTTAGTAATTAAGTGCATTTATTATTAATATCTACAATAATTTTAAAAAAATTTATATATTAGTACATTACCTGCAATTTGTACTTATATTATCATCTATTATTAAAATATCATTAAAATATCTATTATTATTTAGTATTAAATTTTATTTCACTTAAAATAAATAAATTATTTGTATTGTAATTGTAAAAAAATTAGCAATGTCAACAATTTTATTTTTTTAAAAAAAATTGATAACAAAAATTATTACTATATATATATATCGTATAATTTACATACACATAGACAAACACATTGTATTTATTAAATATATATATATAAAATAATAACTGCACTGATTGTCAATTAGGACATAACCAGGGGCATTTAGAAAATATCTATATATATAACATACAGTATATGATAATTAAAAAATTTACCTAGTTACCAAAAAAAATTGTCATGTCCATTTAATCAGATCTATAGATGAGTTAGAAAACTAAAAAAATTAAAAAAAATTAAAAATTAATTTTAAAAATTGCCATGCACATTTTTTTTTAACCAGTTTTAACAAAAAAGTTTAAGTTATTTTAAATAATAATAATATAATTTACATGATTTTATTTTTGTGTTGTATCGACGCAACTAAATAAATTATAATTATATTTTTAATAAATTTATAAAAAAAAACAAAATTAATTTAAGCAAAATTAAAATAAACTATACATTGACTTATGTGGCCATTGATTGAATGCACTGTTTATTATTATTATGTAATATATTTAACTAATAAATAATAATAATATAAAATAAATAATAACAGTATTAATGAAAACAACAAATAATAATAATATAAATAAGAGACAAATGAAAGTCAATGAATGTTTTTATTTAGGYATATATGCTATATATATGTTTGTTGCGAATATTTTGAACATTTTAATACAACAAAAATCATATACTAACTAAATTAGTTTCTTATAGTACTATAAAGTACCAAATGTGCAAATGTACAAACACATAGTGATAGTTAACAGAAATAGTTTGGATCTAAAAACACTGTATGTTTAAGTCAATCAACAAATAGTCACAAAAAAAACACACGTTTTGTGTGTAATAACAACACAATAGATATTATTATTAATAATAATAACCGAAAAATAAATACAAATAATAACAAACAAAAAATCCAATCAATTGATTGATAACTGGATTTTTATAATCAGTTTATCTCTATAGACACCGCCGATTGTCTGCCGATTTTTTGCGGGGATTTTTTGTTTTGTCCGATAGACAAAAATGATGGACATGTCGTCCCACAAACAGTCTCAGGGCGGTGGCCACCGATCGTCGATATCGTCGACACCGCCGTCGTCGCACAAGTCGTCGTCATCGTCGGCCGATAAGGTGCGGCCAAACTACAAGCTTACCTACACACTGGCCGGCCATACAAAGGCCGTATCGTCGGTAAAGTTTTCGCCGAACGGCGAATGGCTGGCCTCGTGTTCGGCCGATAAGTTGATCAAAATATGGGGCGCCTATGACGGCAAGTTTGAGAAGACCATTAGCGGCCATAAGCTGGGCATCAGTGACATATCCTGGAGTTCGGATTCGCGGCTATTGGTCTCGGCCTCCGACGACAAGACATTGAAGATATGGGAGTGCGCGACGGTATGTAATTGATATCACAACTATGGCTATTGGATCTAATGATTGATTTGTTTGTTTGTTTGTTATCTTTAGGGCAAAGGCTTGAAGACACTGAAAGGTCATTCAAATTATGTCTTTTGCTGTAATTTCAATCCGCAGTCCAATCTCATTGTCTCCGGATCTGTAAGTGATGGACAAATAAGAAGATAATTAGAAAAAAAGAGTTTATTAAAATTGATTTTATTTATATAAAGTTTGACGAATCGGTCCGCATATGGGACGTAAAAACCGGCAAATGCTTGAAGACACTGCCCGCCCACTCGGACCCGGTATCTGCCGTACACTTCAATCGTGACGGTACTCTTGTGGCCAGCAGTTCGTACGATGGTCTCTGTCGTATTTGGGATACGGCATCGGGTCAATGTCTGAAGACACTGATCGACGACGACAACCCTCCCGTCTCTTTTGTCAAGTTCTCGCCTAATGGTAAATACATTTTGGCCGCAACACTGGATAATACACTGAAATTATGGGATTATAGTAAGGGAAAGGTATGTTTTTTTTAAATAAGTATAGGTTATAGCAGTTTTTGGGGACTGAAATGTTTATTGAATTATCATTTTTTTTGTGTGTATAAACTAGTGTCTAAAGACCTATACGAGCCATAAAAATGAAAAGTATTGTATTTTTGCCAATTTTTCGGTTACCGGAGGAAAGGTATGTTAAATAATATATTAAATAGTGCTGTAATTTTTTTTTGTATTAATTTTTGTTGTTGTTAATTATTGAAAACAATTTAGTGGATCATTTCGGGCTCTGAGGACAATCTGGTCTATATATGGAATCTGCAAACGAAAGAGATTGTCCAGAAGCTGTCGGGACATACGGATGTAGTATTGTGTACGGCCTGTCATCCGACCGAAAACATTATAGCGTCGGCCGCTCTTGAAAACGATAAGACTATTAAGCTATGGAAAAGTGATACATAAAACAAGTGATTTGATTATTATCACCATTTTTTTCATACATAATAGCAAAAAAAATATGTTAGACATCTCTATACAAAACATTTATTATTACCGTAATTAAATTGTAATGCATTTTTTACTAAATATCATTCAAACACATAAATTAATTAAATCTAATTAAATTATTTTAATTAAAACATAACCGTTATAATTATTATGATTGTATGTATGTAATTTTTTATTTGATTTTGATTTTTAATTATATACCTCTAGAAATTAATGAATATTGTATACTTGAATTTTGAATATCGCTAATATTATAAGTAAAAATTATATAATTATATCGGAAGTACATAAATAAAAAATAAATAAATAAAATTTAATATTATCATTGAATTTGTTATAAAATTAATAATTGGTATTAAATTTACGATAATCAACTAATTAGCGATACTATGGGCAATAAAACTCATTGCAGTTTAAGATAGTCGAAATTATGTATATAATAAGTAGAAATTATGATTTAAAATATGATTATTATTTTTTTTTAAAAAATAACACAAATAATTAACAGTTTTTAATTAAATTTTATTACTGATGATATAATTTTTTTTGTTTTAATTAAAAACTTCTAGCATGTAATAAATCTATACAATTGTCAATTAATTAGCTAAATATAACTGTATAAATAGTTACAGTATTATACATAGGATAGGAAAATATACAGTAATAATTTACATTTAGTGATACAGTATATTGTATGTGCAACTAAATTAAACAATTAAGTCAATCAATTAATCAATAAAAACGAAAATAATTAGTTTTTTAAATTTATTTAGTCAATGGATGAATTGTTTTCTACTTCAATTAATTTTGCAACCGTCCTATAGTAGGCATTGCATGAAACAGAGAGCACCGGTATTAGATTGCGGTTGGCTTTCAAACAATACAACAAATGTCGCAAATTGATTGTGTCGTCCACCAGATGTGGTCTCTTCAGCGACTGTTGTACACTACAGGCCATCCAATTCATGGCTCTGTTGGTGGAGTCATCGATCGACGGCATTATTGTTACCGATTCACCTGAAATATTAATTCGACAATAATATTAAAATTTGTTATCTAAATAAGCACTAGTAGTCTCTCTCTTCGAGAGTGAAAGAGAGAGAGAGAGAGACAGAGAGAGAGAGAGAGAGAGAGAGAGAGAGAGAGAGAGAGAGAGAGAGAGAGAGAGAGAGAGAGAGCAAAACTAACCACTTTCTGGATGAATGAGAGTCGATGACAGATAGTCTGAGTCTTGAATTAATGAATAAGAGTTTTTGATATATGGATTAATGGGTGGACCGCCGATGTTATACTTGAAACGATTTTCACGCAATCGATATGAGGAACGGGAGGCAAATATCTCCATAAGTATGGCTTTGATAAAGTCCTATAACAACAATTTAGCATTAGATACAACATTAATACAACTAAAAATCTGTAGATAATGTAAATCATGTCAATAACAGATCCGATTGTCCAAACACTTACCCGAAGTGCTGCGTTACACAACTTAACGGCATTGTCCTGAACGCCATCTAAGCCCGTCTCCCAACAGATGACAAACACACGCAGATGTGACATGAAATGATCGGGAAGTACGGACTCGCGCTGACAGTAACTGACTTTCGATAACTTCTGGCAGTCGTCCCAAAGTCGGACATCGGACAGATAGCCGTTGTCGCCGACGGAGGTGTCGGCAAACTTTTTGGCAAAATTCAATTTCAATGTCTTCTCCTTCAGCGACGCTGTCTTTTCTTTCAATCGTTTACTTAACGACTTCACAACCGGTTGTTTCGGTTTCAGATCAGCTGTTCAATTGAAAAAACAAAACCAATTAGTTATTACCAAAAAAAATTATCACTTCAATAACGTCTTCAATCGCATCGCATACTATAAGTGACACTTTTTGGTTCAGTTTTGGGCACCAATAGTACTGGTATGTCGGCAGTGGTAGATGAGGCGGTGGCGGCGGCCGCGGCGTTGACTTTGACATCGATGGCTGAATCGGTACTACAGCTGCTGCTGGCAGTAGTAGTAGTAGTAGCAGTACTAGCGGTTGAGGTCGGCATCTGATGGTCATCGGTGGTCGGCGCCAATTGGCAGCACTTGTTGAACAGTGCCAACAGAAAGTTGTTGTGAGCCTTAAGCATATCTTTTGTCAAAAATTTGGTCACTTCTTGGTCGAACTCTTCTTTGGTCGACTCGTGTGTAAACCATTGTCTCATTGCCCGAAGATATCTGTGTCCACGACGACGACAATAACAAAAAAACCAATTTATTAGTCAACAAAAAAAACTATTGAATTATTAAGACTTATTACAGCTTAAAGTTATCGCCGAGACAGTCGTCCAGTGCTCGCTTGGCCACAGCCAACGGGTCGGCCACCGAAGTGCTGGCACCGGCGGCGGCGGTGGTGGCCATTGTTTGATTTATTTATTTTCTGGCGGTTAATGCGGCGGTCGTGGCCTACAAATTACGGGACGACACACACACACACACACTAACAATAATAGCTGTTTAACAATACAAATGTTTTTATATTATTATTAACTAATTGTTTAAATTATAATAACTTTATGTAAAATACAGTATTAATTAATTAATTAATTAATTAATACAATAAATTCAATTGTATGTCAAACACATTGATATTATTATTATTATACGATTGTTTGTATTGAATATCCAAAAAACAAAACAATAATATTTATAAACAAACAAAAAATATTTAGTAATTATTTATGATTTTAATTATAATTATTTTATTTGTTATTTAATATTATTATTATTAATGTTATGTTATGTTTGTTACTCTCATTCAATATGACATTAGATTTTATTTATTTATTTTTGTTAATTATAGTAAAAATAAATAACGTTTAATTATTATATGTTCCCCTATATTATGTCTATTTTTCTAAAAACTAAAAATATAATATCAATAATAGCTTTAAAAACAAATTGTTTATTTATTTATGTTTTCATTGACGTAATTTATGACTAATTCAATTGACACTTGAAAATCTAAATGTATTATTATTTTATTTTATTTTTTTTATACAGTATTTAACATTAAATAATGTGTTTGAAAAAATAAATAGTATTTTCACTGATTATATAATTACTGATTGTATTAATAATAATAATAATATTATCATTTAGTTTTTTTTAAGTACAGTAATAATTTTTTTTATTATTAGTAGAAAAATTTTTAATAATTATTATATAATAATAATAATTATTATTTTTTATTAGACTAATAAACGTGTGATTAATTATTTTCTGATTTTTTTGCTTGTTTTATTTGTTTCAGTAATATTATATTTATTACATAATTATATTTATATCTTTTTATTATATGATTATTATTATTATTACGTGTGATAATACTGTACTCTACATGTGATTGGTATAAAAAGTTGAACAAAAAATTTTTTTAGTATCATTTTTCAATTGTATCAAATTTTTTTTTATTACAAAATAATTGAATGTTATATTTCTCTAACTAATTAAACTAAAAATTTTTCTAATTTTTGTTTCAATAGACACTTTTATTTACTAAAATATATAGAATATATATATATTTTTGGTGATATTTGCATAAAAAAATTAATTTTTTTTAAATAGTGTTTATTCTGTAAAATATTCTGTAATATCCGTATATATAATGTCAAACATCAAGAATATGAACGAAGAATTGAAGATTAAAATCGACGAATGGCTTAATTGGGATCAGGTTTGTGATCATTAAAATACAAAAATAAAACTTTATTTATTTATTTTTTGTTTGTTGTTAATAATACTAATTATAATAATTATTATTATCTATTTAGTAATTACCGATAATTATTAATTTATAAATTAAGTAAATAAAATAAATAATAAAGTATAATATGTTTTTTTATTTTAAATAAATTAATATAATTTTTTTTATAATAAATCAACCATATAAATTATGTATATATATATATATATATTATTTTATTTATTAATGTGACTCAGCAAGATAATATTACAATATACTAGTTTATTTTTTCAATAAATTTGATTATTCATTAAAATAATTTGAATATTTTTTATTTATATTTTCTAAATTATTTTTTTTTTAAAAAATCTATTAAATTATTATTCATTATAATTTAAAAAATATATATAAATTATTAACTAATTTGTTGACAAAATATATTGATAGTCGTCGAATAGATAGCTATTTTATTAAAAAAAAATTCAATGTTATACTAAATGATTATTTTTTTTAAATAAATATTTAAGTTTTATATTATCTAAGATAATAAAAATTGTATATCAAAACTCTATAATACAATATTTATTTAAGCGCTAACTTTCATTAAATGTATATAAAAAATATTTTATTGGTTTAGTGAAAGACTAATAAAAATTTTTATATACTTTATTACTACTACTACTAACTAATACCAGAATCATAAATGTGTTGATAAGCACTAGTATTATAAATTAATTTAATTATGATATTAATAATAGATATAATATGTTTTTTTTAATAAATTGGATAATTATTTACCAATAAAATTAAATATTATAACAAAAATAGAAATTAAGAAAAGTTTTTAATTTAATTTTTTATACAATAATGACTAAAACATATATATTTATATATCAATTAATTTACCGAAGAATACGGAAACATTGAATGAGATCAGAGGACTGGTCGACGGCAAACAAACGGACAAATTGTCAAAACTATTGCTCAATCGGCTAGACTTCGGTACGGCCGGTCTCAGGGGTCGTATGGGTGCCGGTTATGCCGCTATGAACGACCTGGTTGTCATACAGACGTCGCAAGGATTGGCCAAATATTTGCTGGAATTGGACGAAATAGCCGCCAAAAACGGTGGTGTCGTTATCGGGTACGACGGCCGACACAATTCAGAACGATTTGCACGATTGTCGGCCAACACTTTTCTGACGGCCGGAATCAAAGTCCATCTGTTTTCGACATTAGTTCCGACACCGTTTGTGGCCTATGCTATCCGACTGTTATCGGCTGCCGCTGGTCAGTAGCTGACCAATCAAAATACAATTGATAGATAGTTGACTGACTATTATTATTGTCGATTTAAAACAGGACTAATGGTAACGGCATCTCATAATCCCAAACAAGACAACGGATACAAAGTGTACTTTTCAAACGGCGCCCAAATTACGTCACCGCACGACAAGAACATACAGAAACATATATTAATAAATCTGGAGCCGTGGACAGGGGTTTGGGTGAATGACCCGAGACATGATAACAAATGTATGGATCCGTTAGACATAGTTTGGAAAAACTATTTCACAACACTCGAGTCGCACGTCTACGACAAGAAGGCCATCCAAGAGTCCAACTTACGGATAGTGTATACACCGATACACGGCGTCGGACACCGCTATCTAACCGAAGCTTTTCGGGTGTGTGGACTGAAAAACTATTTTCCCGTCGAGAGTCAAATGAAACCGGATCCCGAATTTTCGACCGTTGTTTTCCCGAATCCCGAGGAAGGCAAAGGAGTTTTGGTAAAAAAATGGTTTTTTAGTAAATCAAAAAAAATTTTACATCAAATCAATTAATAGGATGAGTCATTCAAGACGGCCGCCACAACTAAGTCAACGCTAATCATAGCCAACGATCCCGATAGCGACCGGTGCGCTGTTGCCGAATACCAATCGCGGGAGTCAAAGTGGCGTATATTTACGGGCAACGAATTGGGCGCATTGTTCGGTTGGTGGCAATGGTTTAAACACAGTTCACGAAAAGACGCGTCGAAACCGGTTACTAAAGACGTCTATATGATCTCATCGACGGTCAGCTCAAAGATATTGGAATCGATGGCTAAAGTTGACGGTTTTAATTGGTTGGAAACGTTGACAGGATTTAAATGGATGGCCAATAAAGGGCATGAATTGGAAAAATTAGGCAAAACAGTGTTGTTTGCCTACGAAGAGGCCATCGGTTTTATGGTGGGAACCACTGTCCTCGATAAGGACGGTATCAGTGCGGCCGCAGATATACTAGGATTAGCCGTCTATCTGGACGGACACCGACAATGCAATTTAGCCGATCATTTGACCACAATATACAATACATACGGCTATCACTATAGTCTCAATTCGTACTACATTTGCTACGACCAGAAAGTGATTAAACAAATTTTCGACCGATTGGCCACTTTTGACGGAACTCCGGGAACGGTAAGCACTACTGCTGGGAACTGGGAGGCACTGGGATAACAAAATGCTTAAATTACTTAAAACAACTCATCACTGTTTTTAAATTAAATCACTTTTTTGATTTAGTATCCCAAACGAATTGGCGGCTACGATGTTGTCCGGGTTCGTGACCTGAATCGCGGCTACGATTCTGCGACCACCGATAAGAAACCCGTATGTTATTTATCGATAATTATTTCCTAATCTTAATAATTTCTAATACCTGTTCTCTCTTTCGATAAACAATTCAGATATTACCCACCAGTTCTTCGTCATATATGTTGACATTTTACTTTAGCAACGGCTTTGTACTGACCATCCGGACGAGTGGTACCGAACCGAAAATCAAGTACTACTCGGAAGCTATAGCACCGCCAGAAAACAAGTATTTATTTTTTTAATATTTAAATTATATTTGTGATTAACAATTGGTTATACCTCTCTCTCTCCCCTCAAAAAAACGAAAATATTTTTTAACCGATTATCCGATTTTTTCCGGACAGAAATTGGACACAAATAGAGACGGATTTACACGATTTGGTCAAACAAACGATTGCCATCTGTTTAGAGCCCGAGAAGAATGATATTCAACCGAAAAGCGATTAATTAATTTAATTAATTAATTAATAGTTAACTAATAATCAAAAATAAAAGTTGCGTTTATTATTAACAATATTAATGATTATATCTAAAAATTTATATTTAATATATATGTTTAATATATGCAGTATATATAATTATGTTTATATTATTGATTTATATAAATTGTGATACAATTATTTTAATTGGGATTTTTTTTCCTAAAATTTTTTTTCTTCATATATTATGATAATATATATATTTTATTAAAATGTACCGTAATATGCAAATAACAAATAAATAAAAAAAATTATAAGTTTTTATAAACTAAAACTAGTTTATAATTATTGATTTATTAAGTAATTCATATATATATATAATTTCTAAAATCAATTAATTAAAATAGTTTCTACTGTTAATTACAGTGTTTTTTTTATCTAAAAAAAATTAATTAATAAAATAAAAAATTTTAAATACAAACTGTAAAATTAAAATTCTAGATAAATTTAATTGATATAAAATAATTTTTTTATATTTAATTATAAAGAGAAATCAACAAAGAATTATATTTTAATAATTTTAGTTTTAATAAATATTTTTAAAAAATAATTTTGTTTTATATAATAACTACTAATATATGTATAACAATAACTGTCAGTATATTTACATACTTGAGGTTAAAAACAAAAAAAATGAAATTTTTATTCAAATATAGCGCCAAATAATATAATCATAAATACCAATCAAATCACACATACAATAACAACAACAACATTGATTGCATAACACATATACTACTACTACTGTATAGTCAATCAATCAATGAGTTATTTATTCATTGATTGATTAATTGAATGAATGTATGATTTGTTTGTAAACAAACAAAAAATAGTTTAGTTTTTATTTGTGTTATCAATGAAAACACAACTCAATTGTTTGACCAATCGATAGACCCGATAATGACGTCTAGACAACAACAACAACATGTGGCCCGACTCGAGGTCGGCCAACGAGTCGAGTACTTGACGGGCGGCAAACGTGTGTTGGGCCGACTGGCCTACGGTCCGGCCGGGTTTCACGTCAAGCCAAACGAGACCGACTGGTGCGGTGTAGTGTTGGACGATGCCGTCGGTAAAAATAACGGCACCTTTCAAGGTGTCGAATATTTCAAGTGTCGCGACGGTCACGGCATCTTTGTACGGGCCAACTGTTTGCGACCGATACACGATTCCCGTATTCCCGGCTCCAATAGGTCTACGCCGGCGACCACACCCAAGACTATGACACCGTCGACCAGTCAGCTGTCGCTGGCCTCGCAATCGATGGACCGATCGATGAGCGCATCAGTTACTATGGCCGCCGCCGAGTCAGCGAAAACAACGCCCGAAAAGGAGGGCAAAGACGTGAAGCATATGATCGACGATTTCAAGAGTAAGATTAGCGCCAAAATTACCGAAAGCAATGACCAACATTTGGTACATAAACGGCCCGACAATGTTACCAGTGCTCAGGTTAGCGGTTCCTTATCTGCCGATGTCTCAGCCCATGTTCGTGAGTCCATTGAGGCACTCAAAGATAAGCTAAACGATTTGCAAACAAAATACGATACACTACTCGCCCGTCGGGCTCAGGACAAGGAAAAGCTCAGAGACTACGAGAAGCTGAGGCTTCAGTGCGAACAGCTTCAGGAAAACAAGCGACAGATGAGCGAAAAGATTGCCGAAATGACAAAAGCCAAGTCGGCCGCCGAAAAGGAGGCCAAAGAGGCGCGCGAAGAGCAGTTGAGACACGCGGACGAAATGAAAGACTTGGTCGAGACGGCCGAGATTGCTGTCATCGATAAAGAGATGGCCGAAAACAAGTCGGAACAGTTGCAGAGCGAATTGGAACAGACAAAAGAACGTCTGGAAGAGGTGACACTCGATCTGGAAATCATTAAGAGTGAGATCGAAGAAAAGGGTACCGACGGAGCCGTCTCGAGCTATCAGACAAAACAATTGGAACAACAAAACGAACGGCTGAAGGAAGCGCTGCTGAAGTTACGCGATATATCGGCTCAAGACAAGAGTGAATTGCAGACACAACAAAAAGATTTGGATAAATGTCAGACAGAGTGTACAGAATTGCAGAAATTGAACGACCAGTTGACACAAGATGTACAACAATATGAGGAACAGATTGTCGATCTTAAGGTACAATTTTTTTTTAGTTGAAATTACTGTAATATTTTGTGATTTATATTTTTTGTCTTATCGTAGGAACAAATCGACAGCGCTTTAGGCTCTCAAGAAATGGTGGAAAAGTTGACCGAAACTAATCTGAAACTCGAAGACAAACTGAACGAAATGCAAGAGGCGCTTGACGACGAAGAAAACATCAGAGATCTTAACAATCAGCTGATTGAGGCCAAAGAGGAACAGGTGATGGAGTTGAGAGAAGAGTTAGATATGTCCCAATCGAAGATCAATATTATCAAGAATGAGTACTCTATACTACAGGAAACGTTAGCCGACTACGAGTCGACGATTAAGAAGTTTCGCGATTTGGTTACCCAATTGCGTCAAGAGAATCAAGAGTTGGCCGCAAAGTCGGATTCAGCGCAAACCCAACAGATCAGCCAAAAGGTCGAAAATTTTGAGTTCCATCGGGTTATATCCGATCGAAAGGCCTTTACTCGGGCCATAGATATGGAGTTAAGGCGCCTGGAGGTCGACCAGTGCCAGAAACATATTGGCTTTTTGTCAAAGTTTTTACCGGAAGTTTTCTTTTCGCGCGGCGGCGATCACGAGTCCATACAAGTGTTGCTGTTTTTGCCGCGAATTGTACGCAAATGTGAGATAATTGAACGCCAAATGATCGAAAAGTATCAGTCGCTGGCCGTCCAAGAGATTACCAAACAAACGATTGTCGAATCGCACGACAGTCTCAGACAACAGGTTTTCATTAAACAACTTCTGTATAACTTGTTGTCCATTCAATCAGTTTTGACCAAATTTATTGAATCGCTTCACTGTTGCGATTGTGAACTATTCTTACATATTGGCGGACTGTTTCCCGAACTCAGATTTCACGAGAAAACTATCGACCATTTTATGGATCTACTCAAAGAAGACAAATTAGATGAGACACAAGCCGTAGAACCACTGGAGAAGACTCTACAGTACTTTCAATCAGTTTATAGCATTCATTTGGCTGATAAACGGGTCGTCGATCACAACAAACTGGTCAACGATTTCATTACTATCATTAAGAGTGCTTCGGATGCCATTCATCTTGATTTGACAATTATTTCGGCGATCTGTGGTGACGGATGCGAAACTTTATTAAAGACACTGTCGACTCATATTGAAGACATCGATCAGTTCTACAAGAAAATTACTCGAAGACTCAAATTGGAAACACCGCTAACACTTGACGAATCAATTGAGAATGAGATCAGCGATTGTATGTCACTAATGGGTCGACTGATTCAGGCGCTGAAAGTTGTCAGAGTTAAGGTAATGCAGACAAATGATCCGTGCGATGGCAAACATCTGGACGAGTTGGCCAAAGAGGTCGGCGGATTGAAGTTTATCAACGATTCGCTTCAATCAGTTATGACTATTTGCTGCCAATTTTCAACAGCCTTACAACAGGGTATCCAAATGATTATCTAAAGAGATAATCCAAATCCTAATACTTATGGTTATTATTATTATTTAAAGGTGATTACGACGAAACCAAATCATTGGACACGAATCGAGACAAAGCGAATCCCATCGATGAAAGGGCACACATCTGGAAGACGCAGACAGAAGAGATTGACGGATTGAAGTCGAGGATGGAGTCGCGCGAATCGGAGACCAACGAACTGAAGAGAGCTCTGAAACTCAAGATGGAAGAGCTAAGCGAAATGCAGATACGCCGCGATTTGGCCGAAAAGAAATTGTCGAATGCGACCAAAGAGGCCGACGAACGGGTTGTTCGATTGCAGAACGAATTGGATCTGAAGAACAAAGAGTTCAAAGATAAAGAGATCGAAATGGAGAGAACATTGAATAAATATAACCACGAGATCAACGATTTGTATTCAAATCAAAGGATAATGAAAGAGAAATTGAAAGACTACTCGAAATCGGATCTAATCGGAAAAATTATGACATCGAAGACCAGTACTAACGAATCGGTACTTATCACACAGATTCGTGACCTGCGAACGGCACTCAAGAAAGTGATGGACGATAACTATTCATTGCAGATCAAGATTGCCGAACGTGATGTAAAACTTAGGCCATTGGCCACTAAATCGTACGACAATTGCAAACCATTGTGGCTGTTGAGGGCTCAGGGACGGGAACAAGATATTGATCCCAAACAGGAACGCCTGATTCAGCTGACAAAACAAGTAAATCAATTGCAATCAGACATCCGATTGTCAATGATTACCAATTCGGTCTGGGATTTCAAACGACCTCTGCCTAAACAACGTAGAGAACAGGAACTCAAACGACTTGATTTGATTTCCAGATACGACAAACTGGAGCGCGATATCAATGATTTTGTACAGACCTTTGGTGACGGATACCAAACGGGCGCTCATTTCACATCATTTCCAGCGCCGCATATATCAAAGGTTTGTCTGTTTTTTGTTGTATTAATTTTGAAATTTACATATATATTAACCCTCACTGTTTGATATAAAAAAAAAACTGTAGTGTTTTAATGAACGGACAGCCAAACTGGCGGCTATACTATCGGTTCCGTCGACAAAGTCAGCGGTGGTATCGCTTGAGGTTACTTATGAACAGTTAAAAGGATTGCATCGAAAACTGCTTTAAATATTATTATAAAAATACTTTACTTTTGTTTTAATTTTATATTATAGTTTAAACTAATATTTAATATAAAAAAATATTGTATTTATTTATAATCAAATTATTATTACCGTACTATTATTATGAACTGTGATGATTAAAACTGTATTTTTTAATATTTATTATTATTATTATATTTATTATTATTTATTATAATTTGATTCATCCATCATAAGGCATATCAAGCATTTCTTTTAAAATAATTGGAAAAAATTGTGAATCTAATTGTCTATAATTCATGACATGATATGATTGAGTTGTCTGAATGATTGACATAATGTTTAAGGCATTCATTAATTTTATATTTGCTTCAATCGGCGATTTGTATTTCAAACAAATATATCGTCTCAATAAATGCATATATAATTGATAATTGGATCTGGATAGAAAAATTAATTATTATTTTCAATAATATTATTATAGTAATTAATTAAGTAATTATATTCAATATTTATACTTGATCAATTGTTTGTCAATAAGGTTTGATTGATGATAATTAAATATAATGATGGGTAATAACTAATAAAAAAATAAATAAATAAATGTTAGTTTATTAGTACTGTTAGCTATTATAAGTTAATCTAAAAATTTTTAATAATATAAATTTATTTATTTTTATTTTTTATTTACCAAATAAATGATATTAATATCAGAATCCAAATCAGTGTACAAACAATGAAAATAGTTTTCATAGTTTGTGTAGACATCGATCTCGAGTCCAATCAATGATTTCAATGAAATGATTATCAAATTATATTTCTTTTTAAAGTTTAGAAGACAATTAAAAAAAATAAAAATAAAATAAATTATTTATTAATGATTTAAATAAAAAAATAAATTATTTTTTATATCATAATATGATTATATTGTATATACAATATTATATTATACATTAAAACTAAATAATTTAAACTTATCATACGGTATATATATATATACTGATATATAGCACCTACCGTTTTTGCCCGCCAGCACAGTGTCGGATAGTCAAAATTAAATACTGATAATAGCACCTGTATGTGAAAGCAACTGTGCTTTATCAAAGCAATCTGGTCATCGCTAGTTAGCCGATTAAATGCTGTCAATTTGGTCATCGATTTGGTAAACAGTGTCATAAAATGGTCAAAATAATTGGCCGAAAAATGGTACAACTCCTGACTGGTCATGTCCAATACAAGCTCCGGATGGTCACGCAGTGGACCTTTTTCGGTAGGTGTGGCCGCTGTAAACAATTCATCGAATAGTTGTCGCTCGACATCCTGTAGACAATCGCTGCCATAACTGATCTCTTTGGGAATCGGTGTCACTGTTATCGGTCGCACCACTGATGATAGTTGCGAGTTGTTGTCGTCCTCGTCGTTGTCATCATCGCTAGTAGTTTGACAACTGTTTTCATTTACATCTACAACAACGACAACATCAACAGCTAATTTATCTTCAGTTTTAAATTCATTAATTTGCGATTCATTTGATTCGTTAGTGATGTTTGCCATCTCATTGATGGTCACTCTTTGCCATTGTTTTTCGTTGGCATTAAATATCCATTGCTGTAACAAATGATAAATTATTATATGTTTTTGTTTGTTTTATTACAAAATAAAATTTAATTAAATATATAAATTTAAAATAAAGTATTTTCTAACTTTTTCCATACCCAAGGCATAGCATTTAATTAGGCGACACTTTGGACAGGACTTTCTATTATCAATAGTTATATTACAATTGCCATAACCCCGACACCGTAACTCCTATAGTATATTAATTTTATACATTAGTTATTAAACTTTTAAAAACTTTTTATAATATTATTTTAAAAAGATTTTGATATTAAAAAATATTTTAATATTATAGTATACCTTAATTTTGAATGCATTTCGCCTGAAAAATTGTTTACACGATTGACACGTTTGGACACCAAAATTGAAGCCTAAAAAAGGATTTTGTTTTTGTTTTTATTAGTTTATAATTTTTATAAAATTATCGGTGATTTTATAAAAATTAAAATCAATTACAAACACATTACAACCTAAACACTTACCAATTGTTGTTTTAGATCCACAAACAGTGCAAAACTTAATCATTATGTTATTAATTAGTTTTTTTAAATAAAAACATTTACATAAAAGTTTTTAATTAAAATATACTGTGTTTGTGTGTGTATATATTTATTGTAAAATTTTAATTATAATTAAAAATGTTAATAATTAGTAGTCATATTATTATTATTATTTAATTAATTATATTTGATTACTATTCTAATAATACAGTATATAATATGTACTTATATTTATAAATTAATAGATAAATCACTGGTAAAAAACCATTTAATTAAAAATATCATAAAACAATATTTTTATTAAAAAAATAAATATATTATCTGTTACTATGATTACTAAATGTTTGTGCAATTATATGCTGTACTCTATATGTTATATGAATTATATATATATATATTATCTTTTTAATCGTAGTTAACATTTAATAACATTATCTCTATTAACTAATTATTACAAAAAATGTAATCAATATTGAAAAAAATATGATTAACTAAATTTATAATATATATATTACAATATAATACATAATTTCAGACTATTTTTTAGGCCAACCCTAACACTACAGTAATTTGTTTATTAATACAATATATCAAAAACATTTAGATTTTTTACACAAAAATTATCTAAAATATAATTATATATATACAGGCTTTTGTTGCATAACTTGACATAATATATTTTTAGTTTACGTTATTTGTGTATAAGATTTTGTTTATTATTGATTTTAATTGTGATAATAAAAACAAACAATGGCGTCAACGAAGACAACTTATTCGGTTGACTACAATGGGTGGTGGCTATCGTTCGGCATTTTTTATATGAAAATGGCCAGAATTTTCCAATTGATGGCCAATTTCGGCAACACGTAAAAGCCTATCTCATTCACAAGTGGACAGAAACACAACGCTTGGCAGAGAAACGCAACGCAACATTACTGTATTGTATATACAGTGCGGTTTATTTCTTAGTCCTTTTGAAATTATCCTGCTAATTTAAAAACTAGATATTTGTAAATTAATTTTTACATAGATGGGATTAGGGGTAGTTAAAGTTTTAGTTATTGTTTTGAAAATCAAAACAGTTTTAAAATTGCGTCGTCACGCATCACATACACAACTCAACAAAGTTACGATTGTCCGACTTTACTATAGTAGCGGCTGTGGTTATGAAGACACGGTTAAAGGATATAAAGCCGAAGTTTTTACAGCTGAAACATTTAACACACACCTGTCACACAAAGATGTCAAAAAGTGAGTCAAATATTGTTTTAAAAAATCACTAAAAAAATTTTCTATAAAAAATAAAAAATTTGTTATTTAATTATTATTTAAAGACATCGATAAGTTTAAAAGAACTGGTAGTTAGTCGACAACAAGACCTAAACATCATCTGTTAACTGGTCACTCCAGAGAACATAGAACGCGTAAAGGACTTATAAGAAAAAGTGCCGACATTATCACAAAGACGTGGAGCACAAGTGCTAGGAATGTCGAGATCAAGTCTGCAAAAAATAATGAAAGATCATTTGAATCTCTTTCATTATAAAATTCAAATTACACAACATTTACGTGAAGTGAATTTTACTCAACGTTTGGACTTCGCTAATTCAATTACAGCCCGTATCGATTGGCATGAATTTGATGTCAAAAATGTCAAGATAGGTTTTATGTTTCTAAACCAGAAACCATTGATCAACTCAAACAAAACATTGAGCGCGAAATAAGGGCGATTCCAATAGATATGGAGTTGGTGTTAATTTTGAAGGCCTGATTCGTCATTTAATTGCGTGGCGACCATTTTACTCATCTCACATTTTTTATCACTTACAATCTCAAATTAATCAATTTTATAGTAATTGTTATTTGATTATCACAAGTAGTAAGTGATAAACCGCCCTATATTATAATTGGTATATTATTAAACAATAGCATAAAATAATAGTACAATAATTCATATTATTCATTTAAATAATAAAATATTATTCATTTTGTCTTCTAAAATAAATGTTTATTTAAAATGATAGTATTGTTAAAAATATATTATTGTATAATACTGACTACTTTCTGTTCCTTCCCCTAGTTTGAGTCGTTGTCCAGTGGATAGAATCGGCGGGACAATCGGGTATCGGGAGAAAACGTAAGTAAAAATGAAAACGTGTTTTACGGAAAATAATCGTTTTATTTATTAATTCAAATACACGTCTCTCTCTACGTTAGGCTATCGACTGATCGATGGCCGGCAAACACATTGCGCAACTACGCCATTCAAGCCGTGTGATGTCGACTGTTGACAAACTGGCCACCGGTCTGAACCGGCCGTGCGCCCGATACGACTTTTGCTCTCAATCATTCAAATTTTAATAATATATTTTTAGTACAATATAATATTGGAATACATAATGTACTATTATAATAATTTAATGTTTAGATTAAAAAGAGAAATTCCCTTTGGAAACGGCATATTGGCGCACAAAATGTGAGGTAAAGTTAGGGCTCACATCTGCGACATTTTTCACCATCAAAGACGAATATAAAGATGTCGATGATAATAATAAATATTTATTTAAATTAATTTATAAAATTAAAAAAAAATTCTTGAGCGAAAACTTGGCCACTTTATCCTGTTACCTTTTCATCCGCTTCACCCACTTCGATTAAAGGGTAATTGTGAACGAAACAAGAGGTGATAGTAGTTAATGAGTTGACCATTCTCGTTTTAAGACCGCTTGAATATTTATCTAGATTAAACCCTTAAGTTCCGATAGGAATCTCTAATAGGTCACACCGGACTACAAGACTCGTACATTTTTGCAGTCTATGGCCCCGATAACAACGGGCTCGAAGAGTAACCCAAAATCAAACTTGAATTTTAAATTTGATGAGTTTTTAAAAATAAGTTAATTCAGAAACTCAGCATTTAAACTCAACCTCAGTCTCAATGTTCATTCAAAAATACTACTTTTAGTCTCAGTAAATGAAAGATCCCTAGAGTTTGGTCTTATATATATATATAAGCTGAAATGCTAGGCAGTATATACTCAAATTAAATATATAAATATATAATAATGGTTAAATAATATATTATCAATAAAAATTAAAAGAATTAATAATTAATTTTGTCTCTTACACGCTTCAATGCGGTTCGGCAAACTGTTAGAGACCAGGTATTTCTGGACTTCATTATCCTAAATATCTTTAATTATCTCTTTCAGTTGTTGATGGAGCGGTCAGTTCTTCTTTCTAACTCATTCCTAATTAATCTCCAGAGATTTTCATTTGTATTGAGGTCTGGTGAGTTGGCTAGCCAGGGTTGGACATCATACCCGTTTCTTTGGCCATTTTTTGGTCTTCCTGGCCTGCTGGAGGACAAACCCTTTTTTAGAAAACCACCATATAGAGCCAATGTGCTCATGGAGGACATCCTGGTATCCCTCACCGCTGAGATGTCCTCTTATGATTAATAATGTCGTCATCCCTCTCACGCAGATACTTCCCCAAACCATTATTGATGGTCCATGTTTTGAGGTTGGTTTTGAAGGTCGGGTTCTCCCCCATTTCATTTTTTTCGGTAGACTTGGAAGCTACTCTCATCAGTGAAAGCGACCCGTGACAAATACTTGTTTCGGTTTTGTCGACACCATTGAACCCGATTAGCTTTTTGTTCTGGGGTTAGGTTTGGGTACCATTTGGTGATACAGGATTTCTTTAGTGACCGATAAATAGTTTATCTGATCACTTGAGGACCTATCTTTGATGTTTGTTTACATTTTTATATATCGAGTTATATATATATATCATTTTAAATGATTTTATTTACTCTATTTGTTGAACGTAATATTTGGTAAATATAACATATAAAAAATAATATGAGAAATTAAACTTTTTTTTTTAAAAAAAAGTCTCAATTTCAGTGCTCCTGAGTTTATATGTGGGCTATACTTAACATTCACTTATATAACAAAACTAGTAATTATACTGTAATATTAATATAATTTAATCATGTTTATTGTTAAGGACACTAGTATTATAAAAAAATTTTTTTTATATATTTCATTGGTTTATAATTTTATATTATTTTAATAGTTTAACTAATGTTTCATATTTTTAAAAAAAATTATATTTATTTACATTTGCATCGAAAACTGCTTTGAATATTATAAAAAAATACTATACTTTCGTTTTAATTTTATATTATAGTTATTATAGTTTAAACTAATATTTAATATATATAAAAAAATATTGTATTTATTTATAATCAAATTATTATTATTATGAAATGTGATGATTAAAACTGTATTTTAATATTTATTATTTATGTTATTATTATTTTTATTTATTATAATTTTGATTCATTCATTCATAAGGCATATCAAGCATTTCTTTTAAAATAATTGGTATATATTTTGAATCTAATTGTCTATAATTCATGACATGATATGATTGTGAGGTTTGTATGATTGTCATAATGTTTAAGACATACAAAAATTTCAATTTTGCTTCAATCGGCGATTTGTATTTCAAACAAATATATCGTTTCAATAAATGCATATATAATTGATAGTTGGATCTGAATAGAAAAATTAAATATTTTAATAATAATATACAGTATATATATATATATATATATATTGATATAAATTATATACTTAATCAATTGTTTGTCAATAAGGTTTGGTCGATGATAATTAAATATAATGATTGGTAATAACTATAAAACAAATAAATAAAATGTTTTTTTTAAATATAAAAAGTAAAAAAAATATAATATAAAACAAAATTAATTTCATTTTATTTACCAAATAAATAATATTTAGATCAAAATCCAAATTATTATATAATAATTGCATATATTGTTTGAAATAGTTTGCAATTTCGTGGCCAATCAATGATTGCAATGATATGACTATCAAATTATATTGCTTTTATAGTTTAGATGACAATACATAAAATTAAAAAATAAATTAATTTTACTATAGTTTTAAATAATATATATATATATAATCTATACACATATGTATATATACACTGTATATTATACAGTAATTAAATTATGTAACCCAATAAAAAAAATTAGTAGCATATATATACAATAAATAGCACCTACCGTTTTTGCCCGCCAGCCCAGTGTCGGATAGTCAAAATAGTGTACCGATAACAGCATATGTATGTGAAAGCAACTGTGCTTTAGTAGTACAATCTGATCATCATTTGCCAGCCGATTAAATGCTGTCAATTTGATCATCGACTTGATTAAGGAGGTCATAAAATTGTCAAAATAGTTGGCCGAAAAATAGTACACCTCCTGACAGGTCATGTCCAACACAATCACCGGTTGGTCTCGCAATGAACTACTCGGTTGATGAGTAGGTGTTGTCGCGGCAAACAATTCGTCAAATAGTTGTCGCTCGACATCCTGTAGACAATCGCTGCCATAACTGATCTCTTTGGGAACCGTTGTCACTGTCATCGGCCGCACCACTGATGATAGTTGCGAGTTGTTGTCGTAGTTGTAGTCATCATCACTAGTAGTTTGACAACTATTTTCATTGACATCTACAACAACATCAACAGCTAATTTATCTTCAGTTTTAAATTCATTAATTTGCGATTCATTTGATTCGCTAGTGATGACCGCCATCTCATTGATGGACACTCTTTGCCATTGTTTTTCGTTGGCATTGAATATCCATTGCTGTAACAAATGATAAATTTTTATATGTTTTTTGTTTGTTTGGTTTATTATAAAATAAATAAAATTTAATAAAATAATCTGAAAATTAAAAATGTTTTCTAACTTTTTCCATACCCAAGGCATAGCATTTAATTAGGCGACACTTTGGACAGGACTTTCTAGTATTATCAACACTTATATTACAATTGCCATAACCCCGACACCGTAACTCCTATAGTATATTAATTTTATACATTAGTTACTAAAATTTTTTTAAAAAAATAATAATATTATATATAATTTTTATAATTATAAGAGTATTTTTTGAATATTATACCTTAATTTTGAATGCATTTCGCCGAAAAAATTGTTTACATGATTGACACGTTTGGACACCAAAATTGAAGCCTAAAAAAAGTGATTTTTGTTTGTTTGTTGTGAAATTGTTTTATAAAAATTATCAGCGATTTTTGATAAAAATTACTGTATAAATATAATAACATAAAATAACACACAAAACACTTACCAACTGTTGTTTTAGATCCACAAACTGTGCAAAACTTAATCATTATGTTATTAATTAATTAGTTTGAAAAAAACAATTATAAGTTTTTATAAATATATATATATACTGTATATGATATTTATTGATAATTTTAAGTATATAATTACAAATGTGACTAATTGTTAGGCATATTATTATTATTATTATTATTAAATAATATTTTATTACTACTTAATAATGTGTACTTATGATACCTAATAAATGATTTCATAAAACTTTTCAATAAATAAAAAATAAGATAAATCATTGATTAATATTTATGATTTGAAATAAATGTTATGAAATATGAGTTTTTTATTTTTATTTTATAAGTTATCTATAATATACTATGATTTCTAAATGTTAGTGCAATTATAATGTATAATGAATTATATTATTTTTTTTAGTCGTCATAAACATTTAATAACATATCTCATTAATTATTACAAAAATATATATAATCATTAAAAAAATTTGATTAACTATTATATTTTATTTTGATATATTAATAAAAATAGTGTTTATTATTATTAAAAACACTAGCATTATATATTTATATAAAAATTAATTTAACTGTAAATAATAATGTATAAATTTTATATTTATAACTTAATTTTTTTTGACATTATGCTAATTAAATGATATAATATATAATTTAATATATAACTTAACAAAATTAAATATAAATTTATACACCCGTAGAATTATAATATTAAAAACTATATAAATTTTTAGGATAAAATTATTTTTTAAAATTTCAAAAATAAACAATTATAAATTGATTATTATCGTATAGTTACATTATTATGTATTAAAAATTTATTTCATCTAGATAATTTACAATTTACAACAAAAAAAATTGAGATGAAAATAATATACCTCTAATTTGATAACATAGGCTATTAATAACAATATGTTAACTAATACTATAGACTGGTATATCATTAGTACTATTGATATCAAGTATCTCCCGAAGTAGTGGTCCATTGTTTGACCGATTGATTTGTATTAGATTTTCTCTATGAATCTCATTCAACGTTTCGATAGTTTCCAACAAATTCAATGCGACTAAAAATTTGGATTTAGCCTCAAATGGTGGTGAGGAACTATACTTGCAATTCATATACCGGTGCAATAAATACAGGTATAGTTGTTGTTGAACTCTAAGAAAAACAAAATTATTCAAAAAAAATTATTGTAATTAAAATATACAAATAAAAAAAACACTTTTAAACTTACTTAACAATATCAGGATATATAAGGTTAGGTCGATCCGGATTAAACAAAACAATTGCTACTAACTATTAAATATTTATTTTTTAAAAAAATAATTAATTGTAATTAACTATTAACTAATAACTTATTTGATGTAGATTACAATATATATATATATTAATAGTAAAATTAAATAAATAAAAAAATACAAACCAGATTTAAAACACAAATATCAAAATCATCAATAATTTTGTTGATATAATTATTTAGTTCAATATATAATAAGTTGTTATTTGATCCCTTGAGCAGATCAATTGGGAACATAATGCCATTGTTATTATCCTGGTCATTTATAATTTTTAAAAAAACATATAAAAAATAAAAATATAAACACACACATACACACACATACACACACATACACACACACACATACACACACACATACACACACACACACACATACACACACACACACACACACACACACACACACACACACACACACACATACACACATACACACACACACACACACACACACACACACACACACACACACACACATGCATACATACACACACACACACACACACACACCCCACTATTATCATACCTTTTCAATAGTCCAACAATGGGTCCATTTGTCATACCAGAGCCAAGCCCTGAGCATCTGTATCTCAAGACAACCATATTTAACGAGTGCTAACTGATCGTTGTCGCAGACATTGGCAAACGGTCGGAGATGTCTAGCAATGCGTACAATGTTTGCTAGAAAATCGTCAAATTTGTGGCCACAAAACTCGTACAACTCTTCAATCGTATTCAATGGTATGGCATAACTCAAATCAGACGACGACGACGACTTATCCACGGATAGGGCGCCAAACAGTTCACACATTAGACTGGTCTCGACATCAGTCAAACTATTGTCGTCGGCAATAGGTTTCGGTATTGAATATAACATGAGTTCCACTTCGATAGCCATCAGGCGATAGGTTTTAGCGTTTTTAGGTTTGTCATAATTGGCCGACATTTGTATGACATCTGTGGTACCGGTGCGGCGGCAATAATCTGGACTTTTTGTCGAACAATCACTGCTCAATAAATCATCAAAACTAAGCAAACTGTCCGCAGATTCGCCGCCGCTATTAGTTGTGGCAGTAGTTCGGGTAGAATCGGGTGACAAACAAGTAGTAGTAGTAGTCGTAGTAGTCATCGGCGGTCTGTCGTCAGAATCTGCGGCCGTGTTTTGATCGGTAATTCTTTGACGTCGTTTGCGATTATCTAACATTCGTAGTCTTCGGACGTGTTTTTCTTCTTCGCTAAGAATCCAATCCTTTTTTTTTTGAGAGGAAAAACATATTATTATTATTATTAGTATATTATTATACAAACAAACAAAAATTTTTTTTTAATAAATAACATAATATTTTTAACTCACTTTATTCATACCGACGGCCAAACATTTGCTTAGTCGACACTTTTTGCAAAACTTTCGCGACTTAACAGTGATCTGACAGTTGTCGCCGAAACGACATTTTCGGGTCTTATTGTTTTAAATGACCAAAAATTTTATATAATTATTAAATAAATATTTTTAAAAAAAAACATACCATTAGTTTGCTGGCGTTGCGCCTGAAGAATGCCTTACATGATTGACAGGTTAGGGCACAGAAATTGATGCCCAAAATCTCTATATATTATATATAAATATATATATAAAGGTATATATATATAAAGTGATGGACAGTCAGTCATCCAATTTTTTTCAAAACACCCAATTAATTGAATATATTAAATATTTTTTAGATATTTATAAAAAAAATAATTAATGTTATTTTTTCATATATAGTGATTATATATATTTTAATATTTAATATAATTAGTACATACCAGGATCATTTTCACCGCACACTAAACAATTTTTTGTATCAAACATTTTATTTGAAATTTATATATATATATACCGTATATATATTTGATTTTATTCCTAATTATTAACCCAATTTATCCCAATTTATTTTTGAAAAACTATTTAATTATTTATTATTATTTTTATTACAAATAATTTTTTTTTAAAAGTTAGAGAAAACACAATTAATAAACATATTATTTTAACACCATTTTTATTATTGTAATTATTGTCATTTGATAACAACTAATGTTTGTGTGACTAATTGATATAAAAATACTGTATTGCAGTAATTTATTAAAACAATTAATAATAATAATAAATATAATTGTTTACTGTATATCATATATGATACTAAAATATTTATAACAACATGAATTTGCACTAAAATGTATAATTTATAAAAATAATGTGTATTTATAAGTTATAGTTACAAAAAATATATTAACTTATATAATAAAATAATATTACAAATAATTAACTTTCAAATACTAGTTTCTCTATCTAATCATTAATAATCTATTGTCTAAAGTTAATGAATTAATTTCTTAAATTATTTTTAACTAAAAAATAAATAAATAAAGTTTTACTAAAATTCAAATATTTATATACACTATAAATATGCTGTATATAAATTTATATTATATTTAAAACTATAATAATAAAAAATTTTTTTTTTAAATAGTGTAATATTCATATTAATATAGGTATACTTTATTTATTAAATAATTTATTAAATTTATTATTATTACATAAATATACATATAAATTACTTATTATAGATATATAATTATTTTTTAAAAATTAATCTCTGGTAAATATTTCCTGTAATAGTGTAGACCTAGTATGGTGATAATTACGATAAAACGGTGTCCTCCTCTGGTTAATGATGTTCAACAGGTCCAGTGACTTCAATAGTCGTCCCATTTTAGGTGTGGCCAACATCGGTGACTTGAATTTCATTAGCAAATAGCGCATCAATAGCCGTACATAGATTTGCTGTTGTTGTCTTAATTAATTTAAAGTAAATGTAAATGTAAATTAATTAAATAAAAAAAATCAAAATAAATTATCAATTTAAAAACAAAATTTTAAATATTACAGGTATTATAACTAAAAAACTAACTTAATTAATGTTGTATCACATAGTTTTGGTCGATTTGCATCAAACAATAGTATTGTTGTTAGCTATGAATAAAAAAATAAAACAATAAAAAAATATTTTTTAAATTATATTTTCCCCTCAAAAATAACTATTAAAATATTATTTTATATCAGAAAAAATAAATAAACTTTTATTTACCAAATCAATGATGAGTTGATCCGATAGCCACTCGAGTGCTAAATATTGTAAAAAATCTCGTTTATAGTCATAGATATTGTTTGGTGTTTCCCTAAACACGTCTAACTTAACCCAATAAGTAGTGTCACTCTATTTATTAATATATAAAAAAACAAACAACATTTTATTTAAAAAAATAGACACCAAAAAAAACCAACTGTTCCTTACAAACGACATTTGCCAGGACTGGCGCTCAAAGTCAAAGTAGGGAAACCAACGAAGCATTTCCGACTCATATTGGCCATACTTTAGCAAAATCAATTGATCCGATTCGGTGAGTAGCCGAAAACCGGCCAATTGTTTGGCCATTTGTACAAAACTGCGAATCTGGCCGTCGCCACGGCCAACGACTACCCGTAAATACTGGTCGTAGTAGTCGACAATGCATTCGTTGATAATATATGGAAATTTTTCAACCAATTTCAACGCATCCATGAGCTCACCGTAAATACTGGTCTCAAACTCTGTAAATGTATTGCTATAGTCAGTGATGGGTCTATTGATGGCCATAATCGGCGTGTCCTCCCTATTGTTGTTGTTGTTGTTGTTGACTGATTGACAATAGCTACCGGTGCTGCTTGTAATATTGGCAATTTGTAATTGATTATCACTATTATTAATGTTACTGTTATTAATATCAAAGTAGCCAACATTTTCCGTATGACTAGCAATAGATGAACTACCGGTGCTATCATTGATTGTTAATGATTTTTGTTTGTTTCGTTGAACCAAACATTTTCGGCGTTCCCTTTGTTTATCCGTATAAATTAATTTCTAAGTTTTTTAAAAAAAATTGATTAAAAAGTTTAGTATTAAAACTTGAAAACTTTTATATATATATATATATATATATATATCTGAGGGCATCGGTAGCTAATAAAAAAAAACATACGGCATTCATGCCGACCGCCAAACACTTGTCCAGTCGGCACTGTTTGCATCGTCTCCTGGTTTCGGCATTGATCTCGCAATTACCGTTTGACAGACATATTAGTTTATCCTAATATTTATTAATTTTTAAAAAATAAATAAATAAACTAATAAGCATTAGTTAATATTAGTTAATATTATTAATTATTATTAGTTTAAATAATACACAAACTTTTTGTTGATCCAAACGACCAACGCGTCTGAAAAATGATTTACACGATTCACATGTTATGACATCAAAATGAAAACCTATTTTTATTTTAAAAAAAGTAACAAATATTATATAATAAAATATATTTAATTAGATTTATAGCTAAATTATTTTTAAATCATTATTTTTTTTAGTTAATTTTAATAAAACATATTAACTGTTATATTAAAACAAACTAACAAAAAAATACAAACCATTGGCAATATCTCCACAAACGAGACAATATTTTTGACGTATATTTGTTGACATTTAAGAAAAATGTTAATTTTATTTATTTTTTATATAATAAACTAATTAAGCAATAAATAAATAAATTGTCAATAATTTATATATATTAATAGTATTCTACATATGAGTTACTTTTATTTGTTATTTGTTATTATTATTATTTTTTTATAATAATTATATATCGTGTAGTGTTAATTATAATGTATATCATTAAACTTACTGTAATGATGACCTTGTTTATATACTGTACATGTATAATATAAATATCATTACTATATTTGTCCGTACCTGGGTAATATATTGATTTATATAATAACCATTGTACTCTCTATTTATAAAATGATAAATAGTACGCTAATTATGATAGGCTATCAATTCCTCATATGGGATAATAATAATAATAATGATAATAATAATATCTAATGAATTTAGGTTTAATTAATTTTTTTAGAGGAAAAAAACTAAACTAATAATATATGATAGATACATGTGTATGTTTATCATAATAATAAAAAAATAGATAATAATATCATTAAAATGTTACATATTATATACAATATATGTTTCATAATAATTTTGACATAAATAATGCTAGTTTATAATACAGTTATATCTTAATATTTTAATTAGATTTATTATGTATTTTTTTATAATTAAAAGCATAATAAACGAAACTTAAATAATATTACACCGAAAGAAATATAATAAAAATAAATAATTTTTATTTACATTTTTAATATAGTTTATTATTAGTGAGTTTATTGATTATACAAAAAAAAATAATTATTATTAAAAATTATAAACTTCTCTAATTAATGGTCCATAATATGACTTATATTGTTGATAGTCGTTATGTTCAACGCGCTTATGTATGTTACTGAATGTCTGCAAATCGATCAGTGATGTCATTATGGTCTGCAATCGGTGTTTCCAGTCATAATCGGACCGGTATTTCCATTGCAAATATTGTTGCATTAAATATATGTATAATTGTTGTTCAAGTCTTTGATGAGAGAGAGAGAGAGAGAGAGAGAGAGAGAGAGAGAATGTTAACACAAAAAAATATATTTGATAACTAATCAAGTATTACATACTTGATTACATCCCTGTACTTGAGATCAGGTAGGTTAGGGTTAAACAATGCTATAGCCGACAGCTATGACAGAATATGGTAAATACAGTTAATACTGCTAAGTAAGTCAATCATCCAAATAACACAACAACAACACATCATTACATACCAATACAATGATAACCGGATCACATCGACATTGGGTCAACAAATTGGTTATAAATTTGATATACATTTTAGTTACTGGACTATCAATACGATGTCGTGTAGTTGACCAGTAGTTGTCATCCAAATCAATCATCAGCGATATGTTAGTATCCTATAGACAATAATAATAACTATTTAATGAAAATTTATACACAATTATCTCACTTCCCCACCATCCCACCCACCCACCCCCTCACAAAAAAAATGATATACTAAATATATTACAATATAAAAGATAAAATTGTTGACATTAGTATCAAAATAGTAGAGCATCTTGATTAACATTTGATCCAGTGATCCGTGTTTGACCAGTGACCATTGATCATTGGCGCACAGTTGGCTATATGTGTGCAATTGTTTGATGGAATACATGAGCTCACGAACTCCCTGTTCATTTCGGTGTTGAGTTAATCTCAAGATATTTTGTTTGCTATTCAAATGGATAATGTTTTTGCTGACCCTATGTTGTAATACACGGGAAGCGGCTAACAACTCGTCTATGCGATTGATTTGTAACTGATTCAGACCCTGAAAGTCAACCATCGGCTGAGGTATGCGTACAGTATTGATGAATACATGACTATCTTTTTCAATTTGATCCGACTTTGTCTCCCTATTCAGGCTATTGTTGTTGTTGTCCAACCATTTGGTAAACTCATACCAATCGTCATCACTGACTATCGATTCATTTGAATTAATATCCAAATCAGTAATATTATTATTATTATTATTATTAACATTCAATTTTATCCTTTTGTAAACCAATTGCTACCAATTTTAATAATAAATAATTAAAATTATATTGTAAGTGAAATTTTATAAATTATAAATAAATATTATCTAATATATCAACATGATAAATTAAATATTATAAATACCTGTTTCATACCCATTAAATAACATTTGTTTAATCGGCATTTAGTACACGATTTTCTTGTCGAAACATTTATAATACAATTTCCATTGGATGCACACATTAATTGCTAATTTATATTAAAAAAATAATACCTATATATTTATATTATAAAAAATTGTCTATTTTTTACTAAAAGTTTATTTAAAAAAAATATTACCGATTTATTAGTAATATCATCACTGATATGTCTCTTAAAAAATATTTTACACGATTCACATGTTTGTAATGTAAAATGTCTTCCTATTTGTTAAAAATTAAGTGTTTTTTTTAAATAATTAATTTGTCAGATATTTTTATTAAAAATTAAATTCAATAGTTATATAAAATAATAAAATTTGATTAATATTAATATTAAAATCTAAAAAAAAATCTATAATATTTTGTAAACATATTTAAAACAAACCATTTGATATGTCTCCACATATTAAACAGAAAATTTTATTTTTAATTATATTTTTATTATTCATTAATTATGAAGTTTAACTTAATTTGTATTTTGTAAAAAATAACAACAGTATTACAAATTATTATAAATTTAATGATAAATAATATTATTCTGTTTTGTTGATTATGTTTTATTGTATATCAAATTGTTTAACAATATATATATATATATATATATATTTATATCAATTGTGATAATATTTATAGCAATGTGTAATACTACTAATACTACTACTACTATTACCTGTATTTAATGTAATAAAAGTTTTTAATGAATCATTTATTAAATACAAAAATATCAATAATTTATTAATATAAATTAATCATACATTATAAATAATATTGTTTATTTTTAATAATTAGTTTATTTTACAGTATAAATATAATGTATTATTTACAGTTAATTCTTATTGATTAATATAAAATAAATTCAATAATAAAATTATATATTATTTACAATATTAAAAAGTTTTTTTTAATGATTGTTATTAACAATTTGTTAATATCAAATAGTCATTATCATTCACACACACAAAAAAAATTGTTATTAAAAATTATAAACTTCTCTAACTAGTGGTCCATAATATGACATATATTGTTGATAATCAGTGTATTCAATGCGCTTCTGTAGTTCACGGACTGTCGGCAAATCCATTAGTGATGACATTATGATCTGCAATCGTGTCATCCATTGATAATCGGACCGGTATTTCAATTGAAGATATCGTTGCAATAAATATATGTATAATTGTTGTTCAAGTCTTTTTAAAAAACAGAAACAAAATGATTACAAAAAAAATTAATGTAAAATAATTAATTAACTGATTTTTGTTGTTGTTATTACATACTTGATTACATGCCTGTGCTTGAGATCTGGTAGGTTAGGATTGAACAATACTATCGCCGACAGCTATTTAGGATATGGTAATACCAGGGTTAAGTTAATATGTATATTAATAATAATTATTACACAAAAAAACAAACAACACAATTACATACCAGTGCTATGATAATCGGGTCGGATCGACACTGGATCAGCATATTGGTTATAAGTTTAGTAAACAATTTTGCTAACTGGTTATCGATACGGTGTCCTGTAGTTGACCAGTAGGTGACATCCGTAATAACCATTAGTGATGTGTTATTATCCTATAATAATAATAGCAATTAAAATATTTATGCACACAATTATCTCAACAATATTATACTACTATTTACAATATAAAAGATAAAATTGTTGACATCACTGTCAAAATAGTAGATCATCTTTATTATCATCTGATCCAGTGATCCGTGTTTGACCAGTTGCCATTGATCATCGGCGCACAGTTGTCTATACGGTTGGACACGTTTAACATAGAAGACAATCTCGCGAATCGATTCCTCGATTCTCTGTTGACTTAATCGCATGATATCCTGTTTGCTGTTCAGTCGGACAATGTTTTTGCTGACCGGATGCCGATAAACACTGGTAGCGATCAACAGTTCTGAGATACGTTTGATTTGTAACTGATTCAGACCCTCGTAGTCAACCATCGGCTCAGGTATGATGAATACACTGTTCAATATTTGACTTCTTTTTTCAATTTGATCCAACTTTTCTGATACAGTCTCCCTGTTCTGGCTATTGTTGTTGTTGTTGTTGTCCAACCATTTGGTAAATTCATACCAATCGTCATCACTGACTGTCGATTCATTTGTATTAATATCCAGATCAGTCATATCATTATTATCGATCAATTTTTTCTTTTTAAAGACCAATTGCTAAATATATATATATATATATATATATATAGAGTATATATAAAATATATAAATTATCAATTATACAATTTTTAAAAATTATTTATACATAATATGAATATAATATTAATTAATTAATTAAATATCATAAATACCTTTTTCATACCCATTGTATAACATATATTTAATCGGCATTTGGGACAATACTTTCTTGTCTCTGTATTTATAATACAGTTTCCATTTGATACACATATTAATTGCTAAATTAATTTCAAGAAAAAAATAATAATTATTTTAAATTATAAGTATTTGTTTGTTTGTTTTTTTTTTTTTGTTGACCAAAAAACTATATAATTTTTATAATATAAAAAATTAAAAACAATTAACAAATATTAATAAATAATTACCGATTTTCTAGTGATATGTCTCCTAAAAAATAATTTACACGATTCACATGTTTGTACTCCAAAATGTCTACCTATTTGTTAAAAAAATTAATTAAATTATTTTATTTATAAAAAATTAAAAACAATAGTAAGATATCTAATATACTGTATATATATTATAATAAAATTACTTAAATATAATAAATCTAAAATTTTCTAATACAATATTTTGGCTAAAATTTAAACATACCGTTTGATATGTCTCCACATATTAAGCAGAAAATTGGAGTTTTATTTTGTTTATTCATTAATTAATTATTTATTTTTAAACTTAACTTAGTTTATACACAACAAACAAACAAAAAATTACAACAACATTATAAATAGTAAAAATTTAATCAAAAAAAAACTATAAACTTATTTATTATATTTAAAAAATATATATTCAGTATAAATATTATCAAATTAAGTACTAAATATGATAATACTGTAGTAGTAATGATAATAGTCATAGTAATATGTTTTACAAATATTAATATAATATTTAATGCAATAAGTTTTTAATGATAAATCTTTTTTAAAAATTTATATTAAATGTTAATATTTGTTTAATGCACTTAATTATTATAATTCTATACTTATTTACAATTATTGCATATTTAATAATAATAATAATAATTTTCTTACTATTAATTACTATTTATAATTAGCAATAATTTTATATCATATATTAAAATATTAATCAATTGGCAGCAAATTTTATTAATCAATTTGTAGTTTTATCATACTATTAGTCAATGATATTACTTAACATTATAGTACATGTAAATTGAGAATTATGCAAATTTAATATAATACAATATTTGTATAAATTTAATATAATACTAATAATAAATAAAATTTTATATAAAATATATATAAAAAAAATTATATTAAAAAATTATAGATTTCTTTAGCGAGTGGACCATAATATGAGGTAAATTCTGGTCCATATTTTGTTATATATTGTCGATAATCGTTGTGTTCAATGCGCTTATATATGTCACCCAATGTCCGCACATCCATAACTGTATTCATTATGGTCTGCAATCGTATCTCCCATTCCCTACCGAATCGGTATTTCCATTGCAAATATCGTTGCAATAAATATATGTATAATTGTTGTTCAAGTCTTTAATTGTTGATTTGAAAAAAAACAATATTAATAATAATTATTATTTAAAACAATGGATTCACATCTCATACTTGACTGTATGCCTGTGCTCGAGGTCCGGTAGGTATGGATTGAACATAACTATTGCCGATAGCTATGAATAATAATTATAATAATAATGATAATAATAGTACTATTATTATTAATAATAATAATACAGATAATTACACACCAATTCCGTGATAATCGGGTCATTTCGGCACTGGGACAGCATAGTAGTCAAAAATTTCATATAAACCGGTCTCAATTGACTGTCCAATTGGCGTCGGTTAGGACCCAGGTCTCTGGTGTCCTCGTAAAATGTCAACGATGTGTTACTATCCTATTAGATATAGTAATTTTTGCGGAAAATTAAATGATTGAAAACTATAAGTATATTATCCACAAAAAAAAATATTTACAATATATAAGACAAAATTGTTGATATTAGTATCAAAATAGTCGACCATCCTGACTATAAGCTGATCCAGTGACCCGTATCTGACCAATATCAACTGGTCATCGGTGCACAAATCCGTATACGATTGGACACGTTTGGCGTAAGCGATAATCTCCCGAATCGACTCCTCGGTTCTCTGTCGACTCAATTGCATAATATCTTCTTTGTTATTCAAATGGACAATGTTTTTGCTGACCCGATGCCGAAAAACACGGCCAGCGGTTATTAACTCATTGATACGGTTGACTTGTAGCTGATTGAGACCCTCGTAGTCGACCATTACAGTCTTAGGCTGTGCTATATTAGATACGTTGGTAGTAGTAGTGGTGGTGTCGTCTAATCTATGATTTTTTTCAATTTTATCTAACTTTCCATTACTAGACTCCCTGTCCTCCTCCTCCTCTTCACTATTGTTATCATTGTTGTTCAACCAGTTGGCAAACTCGTACCAAATGTCATCATTAAGTTTTTGAGACAATTCAGTTGATTTAATATCCAGATCATTGATATCATTATTTTTAATTAATCTATTAATGTTTGAATTAACCAATTCCTAAAAACAATTACAAACAAAAACACAAGTAATTAAAAACTAATTTTTATATTAAGAAAAAGTTTAATTAATTATAATTTCAATTAAATATAAATACCTGTTTCATACCCATTGAATAACATTTGTCTAATCGGCATTTGGGACACAATTTTCTTGTCGAAACATTTATAATACATTTCCCATTGGATGCACATATTAATTGCTAATGATTTTTGTTTATTATTAATTATTAACAAAATAATAATATTAATAATAGTTAATAAAATTAACTAAAACTAATCATTTTTTTTAACTACCGATTTTTTGTTGATATGTCTCCTAAAAAATAATTTACACGGTTCACATGTATATATTGAAAAATGTCTACCTATTTAAATCATAAATTGATTAAATTATAATTTAAGTTTAATAATTTTTATTTTTAACACTTAGTTAATTATTAACTAATAATTATTAGATGTAATTTGTTGTTTAGTAATTAGAAATATAAATAAATTAACTCAAAACATACCATTTGATTTGTCACCACATATTAAACATAAAATTGTATTTTCATTTAGATTATTCATTATTTATTATTTAATTTATTATTATTATTATTATGAAACTTTATTATTGGATTTTAAATTTTTGTTTTAGTAACATAAAAATATATATAATTTATATAAAGTTAGTAAACAAATATTTAGTTCAATAAAAATTTTTTATTAGAAACCATTATTGCTGTTAACTCGTGTAATAATTAGTAAGTTTTTACTTTATTTATTATTTGTGATACAACAATAAATTTTTATATCATTAATAATATCAGTAAAAAAAATAAAATTATATACACAATGTATTTTATATATATAATTACCTGTATATATATATACAGTATATACTGTGCATAATTTAAAGTTAAGTGAACAGCAAAATAAACAACCTTGATAATAAGTTTAGAGGAAAAAATATATAATACAATGTTAAATGACAATAAACTATATACTGTAGTAAATAAATTAATAAATATGCAATAATAACATTAAATGTAGAAATGCTAAATCAAATATATATATATATAAAGTCATTGACATTAAATAATATTAAAATAAATGTTTGTAAAATTTAAATAAGTTTTATAAATAAATAAATAAATTTATTTTTTTATTTTATTTTTTTTGAAATATAGTTTAGTTTGTTATTTATAATCATTAAAAAAAATGTTTGTGTGAATCAATCAGACGACATCCCAAGTCTCAAAAATCAACTCCCGGGCCAGTGGTCCGTAATAATTGATAATATGTTTACCTAAATCCATAGCCCATTGTTTTTGATAATCGCTTAGTGCATGAAAATTATCGATTGAAGTCATCAGACGACATAATCGGTTACCAGACTCCGACTCCGATTTCAATTGTAGATATCGTTTCAGTAAATATATATATAATTGTTGGTCCAGTCTATCAACAAAAAAAACAAATTAAATAATTAGTAAACAAAATATTAAATAACAAGTAATTACTTTATATTGTGACGGTGTTTGAGATTTGGTCGGTTCGGATCAAACAACACAATTGCTGTCATCTGAATTCAAATCAATTATTTAAATATATACTAATATATATGATATTTTGTTTAATTTATTTTTTGAGTAATTAATAAAATTAAATACCAAATCCATTATGATTTTATCTTGTGTCCAAACGGGCATAAATTGGTCCATTATTTTTGCCAACAATTGCATATAATTTTCATGATAATGTGAATTAAGTTTTTTAAACGTTACCATATTGACGATTATAGATTTTTTATCATCCTAATTGAAAAATAAAATTAAAAAAAATATATAATAAAATTATTGCAATAGTTTACAACAACAACAACAAAAAATCTAAAGTTTATATGTATGTCATTATAGGGTGTAAATTATTGAATTAAAATTTCAATTTTATACATAATTCAAATAGTTATCTAACTGTTAATAAAATATTTTAACTTATTATAATTATAAAGTTATAAATATATATATATAGTTTTAAATATTTAAATATATGTTTATAAATATAATATTGAAAATTTAATAGTACTGTATTATTCTGTATATTATAGTAGATAATTAATTATTGCAATTATAATTTTATATATATATATATATATATTAATATCATTACCACTGGTAATACAAAATATTGTAGATCCTTATCGTAACAGCTCAGGGATCTGAGCATCACTATATCATAGCACCCGTACTTTATCAGTGACATCTGATCGCTAAGACAACAGTTCCTGAATGATTGCAACCCTTTGGTAAACGAGACAATATCTTTGACCATTAGCTCCGACTTGAGTCCGGAAAATCGCATGATTTCGGTCAAGTCGGACACCCGTACAATGTTATCCTTACAAATCGGATAGTCTAATACCGATAGCGAGTTAAGTAACTCTGACATACGGTTGACTTCCAATTGGTTGAACCCTTGATGGTCTACCAGTTGAGAATAGACCGGTACTAATGTATGTGTGTCTAAGCTATAGTCATCAAACATATTGTTGATATCATAGTCGATGTCATCATCAGTAGTAATAGTCGTAATAATATTTTCAATTTCCATAATCTGATCCCTGAGCTCATCATTCGTAACATTTAACGAACTATCAATCAGTTCCCATAAACTTTCGTTATCTGTATTGTCATAATCGGTGTCCTGTGTTGTTGTTGTTGTTGTTGTTGACTGTGATTGTAGCGAACCGGTAGTTATCGACGGTTCCTCTGAATGGATGTCTTCATAACATTGTTGTTGTTTTCGTTCCCGTCTTATCTTCTTTTGTTGATTTTCTTCTAATAACTTATTATTTTTTATATCCCGTTCCTCAACTGTTTTTATCATTTCCTGTAAAAGTTTTTTTTAAAATAATAATTTAACTAAAATTTAAAAAATAAAATACTTTTTTCATTCCTGTGGCCAAACATTTATTTAGACGACATTTTTGACAAAATCTTCGCGTTGTTACTGTTATCACACATTTGCCATTTGATGGACAATTCAACCACTAGATTATGATAATGTTAATGAATTTTTTTAAAAAATAAATAAAATTTTTACATATTTTTTGTTGTTTAAAATTTTTTTAAAATTTTAATACCTTTTCTTTGAACGCACTTCGCCTGAAAAATGATTTACACGACTCGCAAGATATGACTGTAAAATGACGGCCTAATTGTGTATATAATGAAACCAAAAAAAAAATAAAAATAAAATACTATAAAATTTTAGTTATTATTTTTTTTATATAAAAAATTGTTATAATAATTAAATTGCATAATAAATTTTAATTTACCTGTCGCATTTTCGCCACATATTTTACAATGTTTTGTTGTATTATTATTATTATTATCGCTCATATTTGCTATTTTAACTATTTGTATTGTTTTTATAAATAAATATTTTTTTTTGTTTATAAATTTAGTCCACACACACACAACAAAATTAATTGCTGATTATTATCACAGTTTAGTTTGAAGTTATTATTTATTTATTTTTTATTATTATAATAATTTCAAATCAAAATAATTTAATAAATTTTATTAATATTTTGAAAGTTGAAAATTGTAATTTACATGTATTGATTTAAATTAAATTACAAATTAATTTTTATCCATATAAATATATTATCTAGTTAATTATCTAGCTACACAGTTTTTATTTAGATAAATAAAAACGTTATTAATATGAAATTGTTTTACTTGTTTTACTTATTAAGTATTTAATAATACATTTAGATAGCAAATAATTTTTTAAAAAAAATAAACAAATATTTGAAATAATTAAAAATTGAATTTGAAATTTAGAGAAATAATAATAAATATTATATTATTAAACAAAACAAAACAAAAATTTAAAATTATTAGTATTTTTAAAAAAATATCAATATTTATAGTATAATGTAAACTATGATGGCGTCTATTAAATAAACGATAAAAGTAAACAACCTTGATAATAACGTTTACTGGATGTTTTGTAATAGCAATCAAATTATATTAAATCATATATATAAATATATAGTCAATAATTAATTAATAAATAATAATAAAGTAATTTTAGAAATATTGAATAAAATATAAATATTAATATATATATTAAATAAATATATATATATATAAAATCAAACTAAAGTCATTGACATTAAGATATTTAAATTGATATATTGAAAGTTTAATTAATTTTAATAAATAAATATATTTTATTTTTATAAATAGTTTAGTTTGTTATTTATATAATTATAAAAAAAAAGTTGTGAATCAGACAACTTATCAACACTGGGGCCAAATCACTTCCCGGGCCAGTGGGCCGTAACGTTTGACTATATTTTTACTTAAACCCATTGCCCATTGTTTTTGATAATCGGTTAACACATGAAACAAACCCATTGAAGTCATTAGACGACATAATCGGATACCAGACTCAGAGTCGGACACCCATTTCAATCGTAGATATCGTTGCAATAAATATATATATAATTGTTGGTCCAGTCTATCAACCAAAAAAAAAAAATTAAAATAAATATAATATTTGCAATAAATAGTAATAAACAAAACATTAAATAACAAGTAATTACTTTATATTGTGACGGTGTTTGAGATTTGGTCGGTTCGGATCAAAGAATACAATTGCCGTCATCTGAATTAAAATATAAAACAAATTATTTAATATATATATATATATAAATATATGATATTTTTAATAGTTTTTTTTATAAAAAAAATAATTAATTAATTTGATAATATTAATTTTTACCAAATCCATTATGACTTTATCATGTTTCCAAAATGGCATAAACTGGTTCATTAATTTCATTAATAATTGCATAAAATTACCAAGATAGTCTAAATTAAATTTCTTAAAAGAGACCAAACTGATAATCATGGATTTTTTATCATCCTAATAAAAAAATGTTTAAAAAATTAAAAAAAAATATATAAATATAATTAAATTTCAGTTTAAATTATAATTAATTTGTTTTAAAAAGCTATTTACACAAAATAAATCTAAACCTTCTAGTTTTTGAATTAAATTTTTTTTACATAATTCTAATATAGTATCTCTAATAAAAATAGTTAAGTTTTTAATTTTTTTTAAAAATTGTTATAATTATAAATATCTTATTAAATTTTACTAGTGCACATATACATATACACATAATTAATTAATGCAATTTAAATTTTTTTTTAAAAATGTTAATATCATTACCACTGGTAATACAAAATTATGTAGATCCTTATCGTAACAGCTCAGGGATCTGAGCATCAATATATCATAGAAGCCGTGCTTTATCAGTGACAACTGGTCGTCCAAACAATAGGTCCTGAATGACTCCAATCCTTTGGTAAACGAGACAATATCTTTGACCATTAGCTCCGACCGGAGTCCGGACAGTCGTATAATTTCAGTCAAGTCGGTCACCCGTACAATGTTATCCTTGAAAACTGGATAGTCTAATACTGATAGCGAGTTAAGCAACTCTGACATACGGTTGACTTCCAGTTGGTTCAACCCTTGATGGTCTACCAGTTGTGAATAGACCGGTACTAATGAATGTTTTTCTAAGCTATAGTCATCATACAGTTTGTTGTTGGTATCGGCCGAGTCGTTGTCAACTATAGTAGTTATAGTAATACTATTTTCAATTTCCATAATCTGATCCCTGAGCTGATCATTGTTAAAATTTAACGAACTGTCAATCAGTTCCCATAGACTATCGTTATCTGTATTGTCATAATCGGTGTTTTTTATTGTTATTGTTGTTGTCGTTGTTGTCGGTGATTGTGTCAAATCGGTAGTTATCAACCTTTCCTCTGAACGGATGTTTTCATAACATTGTTGTTGTTTTTGTTGTTCCCGTCGTATCTTTTTCTGTCGTTTTTCTTCTAATAATTTCTTTTTTATCTCCCGTTCCTCATCTGTTTTTACCATTTCCTGTAGAAGTTTAGGGGAAAAAATTAATTAAAGTTTTAATTTTTTTAAAACTAAAACTAAAAATACTTTTTTCATTCCTGCGTTCAAACATTTAATTAGACGACATTTTTGACACAATTTTCTTGTGGTTACTGTTATCACACATTTGCCATTTGATGGACAATTCAACCACTAGATTATGATAATGTTTTTAATGAAATTAAAAATAAATATAAAATTTTACGGTTTTTTTCTGTCAAAAAAAGTTTAAGTAAAAACTTATATACCATTCCTTTGAAGGCATTTCGTCTGAAAAATGCTTTACACGACTCGCAAGTTGTGACTGAAAAATGACGGCCTTATTGTGTGTCGATAATAATGAAACATAAAAAAAAATAAAATTTTAGTTATTTATTAGTTTAAAAAATTATTATAAAAATTAATTAATTAATTAATAAATTTAAATTACCTGTCGCTTTATCGCTATCACATATCTCACAATGTTTTGTTAGCTTATAATTATTATTATCGCTCATATTTGCTATTAAACTACTGTATTGTTTAATATATATGTTTATAGTACACACACACACACAACAAAATTAATTGCTAATTATTATTTTGTTTATAAATTATATCACAGATTTATTTTTGTTATTATTAATTAACAATAATTATTATTATTAGGTATAATTTGTTGTCTAGTAATCAATAAAAAAATATATAAAAATTTAAATTTAAATCAATAACTCAACAAAAAAAATACCATTTGATTTGTTCATCAATTTAAGTTGAAAACATAAAATTGTAGTTTCATTTATAAATTATTTAATTAATTAATTAATTATTATGAAACTTTATTATTGAATATTAAATTTTTGTTTTAATAACATTGAAAATATTTAATTCATTAAAAATTTTATTATAAACCATGATTGTTGTTAACTTTCAATTGCTAATAATTATAGTAAGTTTTTTCTGCTTTATTTATAATTTGTTTAACTACTGATATATTTATATATATTATATTATCATAAAATATCAGTATAGATAAATTTTTATAAAATTATATACACTGTGTGTAATATAAATTACCTGTATACTGTACTCTCTATATAATAGATTAGTATAATAAAAAATAATCAACCATGATAATAACGTTTACAGGAAAAAAGATAAAATGTTGACTAATAATCAAATATATAGTACACAAATGTACTGTATATAAAACTATAGTTTATTAAATTAATATTATTAATATATATATATAGTCAATAATTTATAAATAATACTAAATCAAATATATATATAAATATTTATAAATATTATGAAAAATAAAGTCATTAACATTAAAGATATTAAAACAAATTTATGGAAAGTTTAATAAATAAATTTATTTATTTTTTTGTCAACAAAAATAGTTTAGTTTGTTATTTATAATGTCTTAAAATGTTAGGCAACTTCTCAATTCACGGGCCAAATCACTTCCCGGGCCAGTGGGCCGTAAAGTTTGACAATATTATTACTTAAACCCATAGCACATTGATAATCGGTTAGCACATGAAATAAACCCATTGAAGTTATGAGCCGATAATTAATTATTATATCAATCAATTTAAAATTGAATTGAAATTTTTTAACAAATATCAATAATAACTATTATTATTATTATTAAAATTGATTAAAATAAAACAACCAATTTTATTATTATTATTATTTAACAATTTTATCAAATTTCTATTCTTTTAATTGATAAAATTATATTAGTTTTAAACGATCAAAATATTTGATTATTTGTTAGTTAAAAACAAAATAAAGTAATAAAATTATTGTGAAATATCAAGGTTTATTTGATAAAATAGAAATAATCTATATATTAATATATATATATATAATTGATATAAAATTGTCAATTATTATATATATATATATAAATATTTTAGTCGTCATCCAAATCTGGCCAAAACATCTCCCGAAGCAGTGGTCCGTAATATTTCAAATATTTTTTATACTCTTTGATACCGTAATGTCGCTGAAGATTACTGATTGTATGCGTATCGGACACTGTTGTCATCAGCCGATAGATCTGATCGCAGGACTCGGACTCGGATTTTAGTTTCAATAGCAGATATCGTTGCAACAAATATATGTATAATTGTTGTTCAAGTCTTTTTGAAAAAAATAAACAAATATAAAGTTTTTTTAGTAAATAAGTTAAATATGAATATCAATTGCTATATTAAAAAAAAACTATTGCAAATATAAATACCAATTAAATAGAGAAAAATCTTATTTTAAATTTAACTTACTTTATATTGTGACGGTGTTTAAGATTTGGTCGATTCGGATCAAACAACAAAATTACTGACAACTTAAATAAAAAAAAATTAATTTTTAAAAATAAAATAAATTTATATGATATACATATGTACATAATTATAATAGCACACTTCCCCCCCCCTCTAATAAAATAAATAGATAATAGACAATAATAATAAATATACCAGATCAATTATGACTCTATCCTCATTCCAAGCCGGTAAAAATTTGTCTAATAATTTATAAAATAATTGCATAAAACTATTGTAATAATCGGGATATTCGTTACAAAAAGCTTGCATATCGGCATATATTGATGTTTTTGAATCCTAAAAATAAAAACAAAAATAACCTTAGTAAAATTTTAGTTAAAAATTTAAGTAAATATTTTTAATTTAATTAAATATCTTCAATTTAATTAAATATCTTTAATTTAACTAAATATCTTTAAGTTAACTAAATATCTTTAATTTAATTAAATATTTTTAATTTAATTAAATATCTTTAATTTAATTAAATATCTTTAATTTAATTAAATATTTTTAATTTAATTAAACATCTTTAATTTAACTAAATATATATATATATATAACTTTAATCCTTACAATAGGTATGATAAAATTTTTTAGTTTTTTATCATAAAAATCGATGGACCGGACAAACAATATCTCTCCGCACCCGTACTTGATTAGCGACAACTGGTCATCCGGACAACAATTTCTAAATGATTGTAAACTTTTTGTAAAATTAATACAATTCATGACCGACTGTTCAGTAATTCGTGCGGACAGTTGTATCACTTCCAACATGTTTGACATCTTGATTATGTTGTCCTTACAGAGTGTAAACTGGAATAGTTTTGCGGATGAGTCTATAATTTCAGTGATACGGTTGGTCTCCAACTGATTCAGGCCGTTATGGTCGACCAGTTCCCGATATATGGGAACCACTCTATGCTTTAATCTCATCAGCCGTTCCAATGGTAGTGTGCCGTCAAATATGCTGTAAGTAGTGTTTTTATCGGCCAACTCGTTGTTGTCGATGATATCGTCATCATCAAAGTTTTCCATCTGAATCTGATCCCTGAGCTCATCGTCGCTGATAATCAATGTGCTGTCAATTATTTTCATCAGATAATCATTACAGTCGTTATCGTCAGGTATGATATCAGTGTCGATATGTGGTGGAGATGTCTGTGATTGTGGCGAACCGGTAGTCATTGTGGACGACTCCTCCACTGAACGGATGTTGTCTTCAACACAATATTGTTGTTGTTTTAGTTGTTTTTTCTGTCGATTTTCTTCGACTAACTTTTTTCTTGACTCTCTTTCCTCAATGTTTTTCAACATTTCCTAAATTAAATAAATATATATTTAAAAAATTAATTAATTATCTAAAAAATAAATAAAATAAATACTTTTTTCATTCCGGCGGTAAAACATTTATTTAGACGACATTTTTGACATAACTTTCGTGTCTTTGCTGTTATAATACAATTGCCATTTGATGGACAATCCAATGACTAATTTAATATTTACAATAAATAAATGATATTTTAATAATAAATAAAAATTTTTAATTAAAAAATATATAAATAAGTTTTACAACTTCTTTGAATGCATTTCGACGGAAAAATGCTTTACACGACTCGCAACTTATGACCGAAAAATTACGGCCTAATTGTTAGATCAAAAAAATTTTTTGTTAGTTATTAATTACAAATTAATTATTGAATTAATAAAACAAAATTAAAATTCAATTAAACATAAATTGAAAGAAAAATTAAATACCATTAGCTTTTTCGCCACAAATCTCACAAATTTTTGGTAGTTTTTTAATATCACTCATTATTATTATTATTATTATATTAAATCTAATGTTGTATCAATTTTTTGGTATCAATTTTATATTTCATATTTTAATAAAAATATATTACAACAAAATATTTAATAAAAACTTCATAATAATTATAGATAATTATTAATTTTGTTGTTGTTGTTGTTGTTATTAATTACTGATCAAACAATTTATAATTTTTTAAAAAAATATATCAAGGAAATTGTAAAATACATGTACATATAATTGTAAATAATTAATAATTTTGGTTATTATACAAGTAGTTATTATGTATTGATTATATGTTGTTTAGTTGTTTCATTCAATTATTGTATTCAAAATTTTTTATTTAACTTTTAAACTAATAAATAAACATTTAACACACACACACACACAAAACAAAAATGTCAACTTTATATTATTTATTTATTTAACTTTTAGGTAGATAACAAAAATTATTGGGTAGATAATTATGTATTTAAACATTACGTTTACAAACAGATAAAGTTAATATTGCTATTATTATTTTATAACAACAAAATATATTATTTGATTCAATATACATGTAATAACATTTGTAATTGAAATACATTGAAGTACATGAGGTTATCAATAGCTTTAGGCTAATTAAATAATAATAATAATAATAGTATAAAATAGTAATTAATTATATAAATATTAATAATGTTTGATGACTGGCATCTCAATGAAATACAATAATACATTAATTACATTATTAGTTAGTAATACATTTTTTTTTAAAATGCAAACTTTTATCGACTAATTTAACTAAATTTATTAATTTGCATTAATACTTAATATATTTTTTTTGAATAACAAAATGTTTTAAAACTATAAAATTAAAACGTATATAAAAATATTTAAATATTTAGATAATACTTACAGTATACATTAAGTAACTAACTTATCAAGGTCATATCAATAATAATTGTCAGTAATTGTATGTTTATAAATGTTTATAAATTTTTCTCATTCACACAATTAACTTGTTTAATATTGTCTATAATATTTATATAAAATTTTTAATATTTTAAGTTATCTATGTATGTAAATATAATTTTTTTATATACATATTTAGTAATACTGTTTAAAAATAATAGTAAAATGAAATTATAATATATAATTAATATTTATTGTAAATATTTTAACAATTTTTTTAAAAAAATACTACAAAAAATAAATAATCATTAATTGGTCAGTCATTATCATAATCATCGAAAAACATTTCCCGAATCAGTGGTCCGTAATATTTATAAAATTTTGAAGTATTATTGATATTTTGATTTTGTCGATGCAGTTCATTATATGTACGCAAATCGGCTACCGATGCCATCAGCTGACTGAGTCGGGTCCGCGAATCGGAGTCCGATCCCAGTTTCAACAGTAAATATCGTTGCAATAAATATATATATAATTGTTGGTCAAATCTATTGAATTTATTTTTTTTAAAAAAAATAAAATAAATCAATTGACAAAAAATACTACTTAATAATGTTAATATTACTTTATAATGTGACGGTACTTAAGATTGGGTCGGTTCGGATCCAATAACATGATTACTAATAACTGTAAGTTAGAAATATATATATATATATATATATATATATTTAAATACTTATTATAGTAATATATGATTTATTAATATATTAATTTAAAAAAAAATAAAATTACCAAGTCCATAATAACTCTATCGTTGTTTAATGCCATAATTATTTTGTCCATAAGCTTGTTATATATAGCATTTAAATAATCAAAATTGACGGGTCTTATATTTTTTACAGCATTTATGTCGGGTACTATTGACATATTATCATGCTAATTAATTATTTTAAAAAATATAAAAATCATAAAATAATTATTTAAATAAAAATTGGCATTTTTTATTTTGTTTTATTTTATCTCTACTCTCTAAATAATATAAATATATATTTTTTAATTAAAACACTTACTATAGGTATTATATGAGATTTTTGACACCTATCGTAACTCATTAATGTTTTGAGAAACACTACTTCACGGCACCCGTACTTTATTAGCGACAACTGGTCATCAATACAATAGTTGCCGAACGATAATTGCAAACATTTGGCAAAACTAATAGATTTGATGACCAACTGTTCCATATAAATGGCCGCTAGTTTGGCCAACTTATCCATGTCGGCAATCTTAACAATATTGTCCATACAGACAGTATAGTCTAGAACTTGAGATGAGTTTAATATTTCCGTAATACGGGTGCCCTCTAACTGGTTTAAGCCGTGATAGTCTACCAGTTCCCTGAATATGGGAACCACTTTATACTTATTGTGTGCATTGTATGCATTTAAGTGTAAACTTTTATCAAATACAGTGTCGGTGCCATCAATCGAGTAGTCGTTATCATAACTTTCATCAGCTGTTGTTGTAGTTGTTGTTATCATACAGTTGTTCTCAATCTCCACGATCTGATCCCTGAGCTTATCGTCGTCGACATTCATCACCGAACTGTTAAATAGTTGCCAAAAAATATCACTATTATTTGTGTCATCCGTATCCACGTATTGTGTGGTAGTTGTTATTGTCTGTGATTGTGGCGAACCTGTAGTTATTGATGACAACAAATCCACTGAACGGATGTCTTCTTCAACACATTGTTGTCGTTGTTTTAGTCGATTCTTCTGTCGATTCTTTCTTCTTAAAACATTTTCTTCATTAGTTTTAAACATTTCCTAATTTTTTTTTTATTTTTAAACATCAAATAAATTAATAATTAAATATACAGTATATATATATATTAATAACTATTATAAAAATAATATTTTTTTAATTATAATAATAATAATCACTTTTTTCATTCCTGTGGCCAAACATTTATTTAGTCGACATGTTTGACACGATTTTCGTGTTTTCGTTGTAATAAAACAATTGCCATTTGTTGGACAGTTTATTAACTATTTTTAATTATATTTATTTATTTTAGTAAAATACTAAATAAATTTATTTCCAGAAATTTTTACCGTTTCTTTGAATGCATTTCTACGGAAAAATGATTTACACGACTCGCAACTTATGACCGAAAAATTACGACCTAATTGTTTAGTTTAAAATAAAATACATAATTAATAGTTAAAATAAATTATAAATAATATTTTTTTATAAAAATGTTTAAATACCAAATGCTATTTCGCCACATATTTGGCATAAATATGATTTCATTTTATTGGCACTCATATTGTTATTTAATAAAAAAAAATTACTGATAGTTTATACAATGATTTTTTTTAAATTTCACAATTATTATTATTATAATTCAAATCATAATTGTAAATAAATATTACAACAACATAAATCACATTAAATAAACTTGATTATAAAATTAAAAGTTATTATTATTATTAGAAATAATACTATAATTTTTAAATAAATTAAATTTTCTTTTTAATAAATATCATTCATTATATCACTAATGAGTCGTTAATTGTATAGTACTTAAAAAAATTAAAAATCTATTATAATATACAGATAACTAAAACAATATTGTATTATTATTTTTTAAAAAAATACAAATATACAACAAAATGTCTAATTTTTTTGATAATATTTTATCATTTACTTAACCTATTTTATATTTTTGTAGATTACATTACAGTAGAAAATATTTAATAATATCAATTATATACAGTATATAATAATTAAACAAAAATTACTTAACAATTAAACGAAAATAGATTATTGAAATAATCAATCAAATTATATATTAATATAATAATAATAATAATATAAAAAAAACATTTAGAAACTTTAATAAAACTTTTTTTTTAATCTTTTTTTTGAACATATGTTTTTAAAAGTCTAACATTTTATTTAATATGTAAACTAATAATAATAACATTAATTAAATCATAATCATAATCAAAAATATTTAATTAAAAATTTAAAAAAAAATCAATTTTATGTGAAAATTTCACGAAAAACTGGTCCAAAATAATTCAGATAACTTTCGGTTGCATTTTCCACTTCAATATTGCTAACTATATTTAAATCGGTTAATGTGTTCATCAGATTTGTCATTTTGCTGGTCCACTGCCAGTCCCATCGGTACCGGGCCTGTAGGTAGCGTTGCAACAAATAGATGTACATTTTTTGTCGAGCACTGGTAGATTTTTGTTGATTAGGTGTTTTTCATACAAAGACAATATTTAACAACTATTTTATACAACTATTTGTTTACTGTATACTAACCTAATTATATCCCTATTGATTAGGTTTGGCCGATTGGGATTGAAAAATATAATCACTGTTAGCTAGTATTTTATAAAAAAAAATAATTTAATCAATAAAATTATATATAAAAAACTAAATTAAAAAATAGATACCAGGTCAAGTATAATTAGATCACAATTCCATTGCGGAAATAATTTATTAAAATAATTTCTATAAACAGTAAACAGATTGCGATTTTCATGCCTTATCAGTTCAATGTGTACTTGAAATGAGTTTGACTGATCCTGGTCAATTAATTTTTTTCATATTAAATAATTAGTATAACAACAACAAAATAAATATTTTTGATCTTGCTAAATTACCAATGGAAATGTCCATGTCTCATTGCGATCGTCATAGTAATAGTTGGCACGCATAACATGCACTTCCATACAGCCATACTTGACCAGTGCTAGCTTATCATTATCGCATACCTGTCCATCGTTGGTCATTGAACTAACAAATTTGACCAGATCGTGTGCGTGAAAATTTTCTAACCAATGAGCCCATAGTTCATAGTATTGTTGTACTGTTTGTGTACGAAGTATATGCCGTGTGGGCCGGTATTGGAAGACACCGGCGGCCAGACTCAGATCGGACAGCCGTTTGCACTCCATATCGTTCAATTCGTTGTACGTATTGATGGGACGGATAATCATTGTTGACCGCAAAAATATATCCAACTTTTTGAGATTTGTGTCCAGTTGTCTCTCGGCTTCGGCAACATTACCGGTGCTGGTGGTGGTAGTGGTCACATCTTTATTGATTGCTACCATTTTATTGAACACGTTTTGATTGTTTTCATAGATTGTAGCATAAAAATCCAAATCATCACTATTTTCATTGGTGTGGCCGGTGTTGGTGTCATCACTGAAACTGTCGGTAGTTGTTGTTGTGGTGGTGCTGACCACTGACAACTGTCCTCCAATTGATTCAAGTTTTTTCAATTTGTTAATATCGGCTAACATTTGCCGCCTATGTTTGTCCGACTCGTTTTGTAGACATTCCTATAGATTTTATATATATATTATATTTTTTTGGTAATTAATATAATTTTGTATGTATTTTATTATATACAGTATATTAATTAAAATTAATTAATTAATTAATAATAACAATACCTTTTTCATGCCGACAGCAAAACATTTCATTAGTCGACACTTTTTGCATAACTTTCTGTTTTCAATAGTTATGATACAATTGTTGGCAAAACGGCATATATGATACTAAATTAATTAATTAATTAATTAATAATTAATAATAGTTAAATTTTGTTTTATTTATTGATTAAAATACAGTGTTTGCACTAATATACACATACATCGGATCGCATACAATGTCTCCTGAAAAACACTTTACACGAGTCGCAAGTGATGGCACCGAAATTTCTACCTGTGCTCCCCCGCGCCCCACCCAAAAAATAGTATTGATTATACAGTACATAATAATAATAATTATTATTAATTGTGGTACTAATTGGATTTTTTACATACCGACACCTTTATCGCCGCATACTTGACATATTTTACACCTAATTTTACTATCCATTATATAATTATTATATATATATATTAGTAATTAGTATTAATTAATTCTTTGTATAACTACTAATATTAATAATAATAATATAAACACTTAATATAAACAATATTTATATATATATATAGAAATATTAATATTATATCAAACTAAAAAAATAAAAAACAACAACAAATATAAATTAATAATAATAATAATAAATGAATTAATTGATATTTTTGGTTTTATGAAATAATTTTCTAAAAATAATTACTGGTAATTATTAATATATTTATTTATTTATTAACAACATTAAAATTGTTTGTTATAATTTAATTAAAAAATAGTTATTTTCCCCGCTTTAAAATTTAGGGGTATTTATATATAAATTAACGATAACACATTAGTTAGTTGACCACATTATATAGTCAATAAAAATTTTTGAAAATCAAACTTTTATTTTATCACAAATCAAGGACTAATGTCACATCATTTGATAACTAACTTTGAAAAGATAAGATTATTTTTTTATGGTTAACTAATTTTAAAAATAAATATATAAATATTTATACATTAAGGTCCATCATTTAGTTATATATATATATTACGGTAGTTATTAGTATTATTTTTTTATTAATAAAAGGTAATAAATGCTATTCAATTATAATATACATAATGTATATATATATTTTTTATTTATTTATGACACATATCAACGTTAATGAAAATACTAAACTTTATCACTAATGATAACATTTAACAATTATTTGAAAATAATATATACCGTATATAATATACTAAATTAGAGTAATAACCAAGGTGCTCACATATCAAAGTTGGTTTAAAAATTAAAATTAAAAATACATAATAACTAATACATTTTTAAAAATTTAGAGATTAATTCTATATTTTTAAAAATAAATGATAAAAATTCAATGTATTTTATATAAAATTTATTATATTATTGTAGTATTGTATATTTATTTTTAGTTTAATGATAAAACAATTGTTTTTGTATTATCTACACAAAAAACAGTCAATTATACAGTATTACAAATTTATAGGATTAGTAAATTTTAATTTTTAAAAAAACAATTTATGCATGTGACTGATAATTTATCATTTATTTTAGAGTTATAGTAACTAACAAAAAAAACAGATAAGTTAAATCTGGGCATTTTTTTCAAATACCCAAACCGTTAAAACTAAAAAATAAAATAAAAATCTAAATCGTAATCAAATTAATAACCCGTATTTTTTTTGCCTGACCTATCAGTTAATTTTAATTGATTTTTGAAAAAAATTAAACCTAACCGTTTAAACTCATCTAGTCTATATAATAAAATATGAACTATTATTAAAAAAAAGTCCTCTATATATAAAGTTATATAAAGTTTATATACTTATCATATCATTTAATTATTTTTAGATAACTTGTACTCTTAAAAATTGTAAGTATTTTGTGCCAATTAAAAAAAATTGGCTATAATATCAATTAGCTTTTGATAGTGTAACGTAATTTGTTTTATTTTGAACACATTAAATATATTGATCTAATAGTATTGAATATTAATTGAATATATATATTACTTAATTAATTAATTAATGTTGATTTATTGATTAAGGATTATAGTTAGGATTAGGTACCAGGTTAGGTAACGGGGCCAGGAGACACTGATTTAGTGTCTAACACACATGTATTATATGTTAACGTAATTTGTTGTAACTTAATAAACCGCTATATGATACAAACCCCCCTCAGCTACAATCCAAATAAAATGATGTACCAAGGTAATGTCCTTAAAAACCAGAAAATAAAATTTTTACAAAAAAACAAAATAAAATCAATAACAATTAATTATATAACTGTCTTGCATATAATGCAAACATTTATACATTAATAAAATAAACATATTTAACTTTTTAACTAATTAACTTAAGCATGTATGGTATCATACAAAATATAAAAGTTATATATATATAWAAAAATATTTAATAATAGATAATTTAGTATTAATCATCTATTGTATACATATTATGATAATATTTTTCATATACTGTATATACCGGTATATATTAAAGTATTTTATTGATATTTATATGAAAATTTATGTACAAATTGATAAATTTTTAACAATAAAATTATAATACTATAATAATATTTAATAACAATTACTGTAAAAACTTAAGTAAGAATTTCGCGAAAAACTGGTCCAAAATAATGCAGATATTTTTCGGCCGCATTTTTTACCTCAATATTGCTAACAATATGCAAATCAGTCAATGTGTTCATCAAGTTTGCCATTTTGCTGGTCCATTGCCAGTCCCATCGGTATCGCACTTGTAGATAGCGTTGCATTAAATTGATGTACATTTTTTGCTGAGCACTGGTAGATTTTTTGTTGTATTGTTTTTGATTAGGTGTGTGTGTGTGTGTCATACAAAGACAAAAAAAAATTAAAATTATATATATATTTTATACAACTATTACAAATAAAATACTTTATTATTTACACATTTAGGGTACTAACCTAATTATATCCCTATTTAGTAGGTTTGGCCGATTAGGATTGTAAACTATAATCACTGTTAGCTAGTATTTTTAATGAAAAAAATTAATGAAAATTTTTGCTTGATACATTATTATTTATCTTGTATAAATAATTTTTAAAAAATAAATGATACCAGGTCAAGTATAATAAGATCGCAATTCCATTGAGAAAATATTTTATTAAAATAATTTCTATAAACGGTATAAATGTTGCGATTTTCATGCCTTAACAGTTCAATGTGTACTTGAAATGAGTTTGACTGATCCTGGTCAATTAATTTTTTGATAGATAACAACAAATTTAAACATATATTTTCAAATAAAAAAAAACATTAATAAATATTACAACAACAACAACATTGTTATTATATAAAACTAACCAATGGTATTGTCAATGTTTCCTTATGATTATCATAGTAATAGTTGGCACGCATAACATGCACTTCCATACAGCCATACTTGACCAGTGCTAGCTTAT